TCCACCTGCCTCTGCCTCCCAAGTGCTGGGATTAAAGGCGTGAGCCACTATGCCCGGCAGTAGTGGTACTTTTACCTTGGGTGTGGTCAACAGCTGGACTTAAAGTCTGCTCAGTGAAAGAGAACTCATGTGTTGTATTGTAAGCAGAGCCAATTACACATCTAGAGAAGTCAGAGATCCTACAGAAAACCCTCAGTCTGTCACATCCCTAGACAAATGTAATTTCTTGCCATATGCTAAATATGGATCCTTATATTTACAGACAAGAATATCTGTCACCACTCATCAATGAAACTTCTTTTTGCAACAGATGAAAGCTATTAAAGGGTTCCACAACTGGTCACAGAGAATAAGTGGGTGTGAGATAGCCCAGTTCTAAGTGACACATCTAAAATGGAACCTCAACATCTAAGGCTCATAGAACACAGTGGATCAGGGGTTAGAGAGACTACTAATGCATATCTCAACTCAACCATCAAAGTTTCCTCATGCAACAGAGGGTGATGCACACAGAAGGCCACAACTGATCAAAGTGTGGAAAGAATAAGAGACTGCAGAGTGCACAGCCCTGGATAGGACTCCTATATTAAACCTCACCACCCAGGGCTCAGGGATCATTGCAGAAGAGGGTGGGAAGATTGCAAGAGCCAGAGGTGGTGCATGGCCACAAGAAAACAGTCTCCCCGGCTTCTGGATACTTGCTCATGTGAACTTACAGTAAAGGTGATGGCATGCATAAGACCCATTGCATTACTTTTCTGTTGCTGTGATAAGACACTAAACCAAGGCAACTTACAGAAGGAAGAATTTGAGCTTACATTTCCAGGGGTAAGGGTGCATAATGGTGGGGGAGACATGGTGGAAGGAGGTGTCCAGAGCAGAAAGCAGAGCACTCACATCTTCAAGCAGGCACAGGAAGCAAAGAGTGACTGGAGATCTGGAAAGGCTTAAGTACTCTCAAAGCCGCCCCCCAAAAATGCTTCCTCTAGCAAGGCCATACCTCCTAAAGCATCCCAAAGCAGTGCCACCAACTGGTGACAAAATGCCCAAATACTTGGAACGTATGGGGTTCCTATGACATTGTCATTCAAACCACCACACCCATGTAAATTCAATCAGACAAAACCCCAGCGTATAACTGGGGAAATGGGCAAGAGACCCCAACCTTAGCTGAGGAACTAATGGCAGCCTGATCACTGCTGGGTGAAGGAGAATTTGTCTTCTTTAAGGGAGTGACATTAAATAGGTTGGTGAAACACCAGCGGATGAACTCACACAGAAGGACATCTGGGTATATAAGCTTGATTTGATAGGTGTTCACATACATGACAGAATGCATGAAATCTGGTGGATGGGCTATAGGGAGATGCAGATGGGAGGAACTAAATATGATTAAGATGTATTAAATTCACAAAAATTCAATACAATATATATTTAAAAATTAAGAATGAAAGATTACCCTCCATGATGCCTCATCTAATTGGAGGCCTGAATATTACAAATACGGACACCTTTTCCTCACCAGTGAGAAGAGATTCTGCCATCAGACTGCCTTTAGGCTCCCACTGCAACTAATTCTTCCCTGGGTCTACAGCTGCCTGTTCTTCTGCAAAGTATGGACTTGCCAAACCATCACAGTCTCATAAGCCAATTCCTCAAGTTTGTGAGTTTCACCTTTTCTGTGCTATTATGTGCACACACACTGTTGCTTTTATCCTCTAGAAAACCCTGACACCTGTGGAGGTGGCAGATGACTTAGTAGGGTTTTTGGAAATCATAACTTCACTAGTAGCCAAACAAAATGGTCACTCACATGCTGAGAATTAAAATTTCAAAAAAGGTTTGGCCTCTTTTCAGTATCTTCTCTGAAGTATGAGTTCAACTTAGAGGTGACCTAACTCAGCTGATCTGGTTTAACTTCCCTGAGAGTCTCTTATTTCTGCCCCAGTGTGCTGGCTTCATTCTTCAGAATGGTAGGAAGATGTCACCAGTTTCAGGCCTGACATAAGAACCCTGGAAGAAAACTAATGGGAACATGAGATAGACCCTGGACAAGACAGCTGTCCAGAGAGCAGCAGCTCCAGAAACGTCCTCGGCTCTCTGGCCAGGAATGCCAGGAGGACATTCTTTCCCTTCCTTTTCTTTATTTTATTTTTATTTTATTTTGGAGACAGGGTCTCACTATGTAGCCCAGGCTGGCCCGGAACTGTCTATAGACCAGGATTAAAGGCATGCATCACCATACCCAGCCTGAAGCTCTGGTTTCTTACCCTCCTAAATGAACACCCTGCCTAATCCAGTCCAGCAGTAATTCCTTCTGGCAAACAACTTTGGAGCTGTATCTACAGGTTTTCATGGTGGAAATGGATTACATCTACTTCCTAATATCAGCCCATTTCCTAAATGATTTTAGGGCTACTTCTTCAGAGGGAGCACTGTTATAGTAAAGAATGGGATCTACTTGTAGGTGGGCCCATGCATGCCATTGTCTCTTTAAGAGTTAATCCAGCTGGACAGGTCAATCATGTGGTCAATAGACCACCTCTCAGGAAGGCAAGCGAATTTTTTTTTTTTTTTTGGTCTTTTTGAGACAGCATCTCCCTGTAGCCCCAGCTGGCCTGGAACTTGCTATGTAGACTAGGCTGGCCTTGGACTCAAGAGATCCACCTGCCTCTGCCTCCCAAGTGCTGGGATTAAAGGCATATGCCACCACGCCACGCTCATTATCCCTTTAATAGGATAAAGTACTTTTCCTGCCCAGAATTCCTGCCCTCAGTGCAGTCCTTCTAAAACCATGATGAACTTCTGTTGGGTCTGCCCACCTTTCTGACTCAAAAAGTTGTAACTTTTCCTCTCTCTCTCTCTCTTTCTCTCGGCTTTTTCAATCTTCCTCTAATTCTCCCTTCTGCACCATGTGGCATGTCCCCATCTAGAGGTAAATTCCATTCTTTATTGTAACAAAACTATTTAGTCCTAATACTCAAGTGACTCTCCCTGATTAAACTGGCCATTGCTGAGATTTGGACTTTGACTTCGAAAAGTGTGATCCTTGGATCTTCCCTGACATGTAATCAAGATGCAATTCAAGTGGATAGATGAATAAAACCTCACTTCTGTTCTGAACCAGGTTGGGCGGGGTAGGGGGTGGGGGGATTGAATGGATGCTGGGTAAACAGCTAATAAATAATTCCCACTGGACAGACAACAGTTTCCCGGATTGATTTATCACAACATAACATGCACGTGTTAAGTCTAATGAAACAAAACTAGTACCAAGGAAGTGATAAGGAACAGTGAAGATTGTGGTAGCCAGAAATAACATGATCCATGAATAAAGGAGGAAGTCACTACTCTAATGTGATCACGCAAGAACCTTGCTGTTACAAGATCTTCAACACTTTTTTCAATATATATTTTTATTGATTTTTTGTGGATTTCATACATTTTAATCATATTTAAGAGAGATGCTGAACGTTTTCAAGAGAAGTTGATAATCTGATTTTTGTGTGTAAAGAATCTGTATTGTAAATGTTGGCAACTCAACCAGTTTTCATTCCTTTTAACCATATATGAACAACACTCCAAATTGAAAGCGTATCTTATGGGCTAATACGGTGTGTGAACTTGTTTTCATTCTGTGGTAACTGGGGGCTTCGAAGCTTTCCAGGGTAGAGCAGAGCTGCAGGAGGGTGAGCAGGGAATGAGTGCTGTTGTTTCACATGATGCTCTTTAACAGGCAGGCCATCAAAAACCGTTCTCAGGCTTAGGATTCGCCAGATGGCAGTGTGAAATCCATTTAGTAATTTTTTTTTTGACCCAGGTAAAGTATAGGTAGTCTCTGGCACCACTGTTCATGTTTAATCTCATGCGCAGGTAATGCCTAACAATAGAGACATACCAAACCATACCAAATTCTTCACACTACACAAATCCACTGTGGATTAGGGTTTTCTCCAAACATGCTTATTTATTGTTTTTCAAAGGTTCAGCATTCTTCCATTTCTGGACCATTATCTGACGTCACAATTTTGGGTGTCATACAGTTTTTCACGGATAGGTTAGATTGATCACCTATCACTAAAACATTCAGTTAAACTGAATGAGAACTAGTTTATTAACTTTGAAAGATGAGCTTAAAATGGACTGGTATCAAGTTGCAAGATGGCTCAGCAGGCAAAGGCGCTGAGACCTGAGTTCGATCCCAGAGACCCAGATGGTGGAAGAATAGACTCTCAAAGCTGTCCTCTGACAGCCACACGCCGGCGCATGCGCACACACAGATAAAATAATAGACTGCTACAGAAATTAGAAATTATGAACTGACTTGCTCTTATTTTTCCCCTGGTCCCCGGTCAGTTTCTCATCCACCCCAAACACAAAAGCAGTTTTCAAACCTGTTTGAGTATTAGAATCCACAAGGGGGAGATGGGCTGGGATGAGGGCTTACAAAGCATCTTCACCCAGGCCATTCCCTAGAGGAACTCAAATCCCCCAGGTGAGTTCAGTGTGTAGACAGTGCTGAATTCAGTTCCTCGTAGGAAATTACCCAAGACTCGAACTCCGTCAAGTCCCTCGGGTTCTTCCCAGAACTCTTCATCTCTGTCTAAAGAGGTTCAGACTAACGTTTTCCCGAGCTCTCTGAGGGGGGCTCCGGCCCGTCCGGAGATTGACAGGACCGTCCGCCAATCAGCAGCCTGAATTACTTACGCTAGGACCAATAACGGACAACAAAACAAAACACTTCCCGCCAGTAACGACGGGCTGCTTCGGCACAGGCCAGCAGGCTAACAAAGGCGGGGAGGACGGAAGCCAGGACAGGCTCCTTTCCCTCAGAATCCCCGAGGAGGGGCTCAGCCAACCGGGGTCCCGGTTCATGTGCCGCCTCCGCCCCGCCCTCCTAGCGTCACTTCCGCCCCGCGTCCATTTCGCAGTGTACCGAGCCGCGTTGAAGCAACTTCCTTTCTCCTTTCCCTACTTCCGCTCACCGCCCTTGCCTCCCGGAAGCTCATTCCCTCAGTGCCGGGTCAGAGGTGAGAGATGGGCAGCCTGCACTGGCCTACGTGAATAGCCACTGCGGCGACGCGAGCTGCAGGAGCCAGGTTCGTCCGGCGCGGGCCGCTCCGGGGCGGTGTGCCGCGGGCATCTTCCGGGCAAGGCCCCCTCCACGCCTTCCACGCCTGCAGCCACCCTGCCGCAGGTGCCATCCTTGGCCCCAACGTCTAGTTGCCGTCCTCGCTCATCTTCTCCCTGTCTCTGTCTGTCTGTCTCTGTGCCCCCCCCCACCTCCCCAGGCGAGGACCGACTCGGATTGATGCCATCCATCCCCTCAAGGAGCTTGAATCGGAATCCGAGCCGCGTGTAGTGTCGGGATGGCCGGGTTGCTCACGACAGCACTTTAACATCCGTTCTGCCTTCTTCTGAGCCTGGACACCCTGGGAGTCAGGTAGTGCTTGCAAAAACTATGTCTCGGTTGTGCAGACGGAGAAACGGAAAACTTGAGTGGCAAACCCTGTTAAGGCAACCCGGCTCTAGCCTGACGCGAAGTGAGAGGAGCACCAAGCTCAGCATTCAGAAACGCTGATGTTTCTGAGTGCTTTCAGTGTATGTCTGGCGTTATGCTAAGTCCTTTTCTGTATTTACTTCGTCCACTTATAGTAAACATAGCAAGCACGTGCTTTTACTCCTGGTTTAGGAAACGGAGGCTCAGAGATAACTGACCTGTCTTGGATTAACGATATAGTTAACATTTTCCAGATGCCTTTCAGCTTTTGAAGTCTACACACATTTTCTTTATTTCATTCTTTATTTTATTTTGGTCTTTTTGAGACAGGGTCTCTCTGTAGCCCCTGCTGGCCTGGAACTCACTATGTAGACCAGGCTGGCCTCAATCTCACAGAGATCCACCTGCCTCTGCCTCCCCTGTTCTGGGATTATAGACCCAGGCCACCAGGCCCCACTGGATTCTCCAAACATTTTAGCATTAACTTCTGTCATAATCAACTATATTTTTCTAATATGGGCATTTCAGGTAGGGAGAGTCTTGGAATTTATTCAGTTTCTCCACTTTTCAACTACTGTTTCATTTTTTATTAACATCTTATTTAGAAATCTGTAGTCCTGTCGGTTCAGCTCCTAATCTTAACAGTTTAATTTTTTTTTTTTTCTTTTTTAAGAGGGATTTGTGGTTGGTGCTTCTTGTTGTGAAATGAATGGATCTGGGTTAAAGGGTTGAACAAAGAAATTATACATTTCTATATCATAGGTACTCTGTATACTGTGGCTTACCTTGCATATTTTAATTCAGCTTCTGCCTTTTCCCTCCAGGAAAACAGCTATCACTTTATGCTAAGATGTCGGGAATTGGAAATAAAAGAGCAGCTGGTGAGCCAGGCACTTCTGTGCCTCCAGAGAAGAAGGCAGCCGTTGAGGATTCAGGGACCACAGTGGAAACAATTAAGCTAGGGGGTGTCTCTTCAACGGTATGAAAGTGTGCTTTGTTCCTGTCAGTTGTAAATGGACCTAAATGCCTTCTGAATTAAGAGGAAGCCATTGAAAAGAAGAGGGAAATAGAGCAGATGAAATGATGTTGGTTCTGGAAGAGCGGTGTGTGGATGTTTGATCTTTTTTTGCAAGGTATATTTTATGTTCTTTTGAGAGCCTGCTGTCTACTATGGCCATGGCTAGGGTTAATTAGCATTTTTCATTTGCTGAAAATTTGATACCAGGTTCTAAGAGGCACTGTGGCAGAACCATTGAGAGTCAGACCAGCGTACATAGGGTTTCTCTCAAATGTATCTCTTAGCTGCATGGCCTATGCTGTTGGCTCTATGCTTGTGTCTCTTTGTCTGTAAAATGAATCTATCATGCCTATGACATTGGGTTATGGTGGAGATAAAATGAGAGTCCCAACAAAGAGTATGATAGTGCTTTTGACATTGTAAGTACTCATAAAAGCGAGCTAATAGTAATTATTACTGGGCTAGATAGTATAGGAAATAAAATTGGTGTTCTCCATACTTTAATTAGTATATACACCAAAAGGCCATAGTAATATATTTTAGACATTAGAAACTTAGAGCTTTTTGATTGTTTGAGATAGGATCTCAGTATGTAGCCCTGGCTGGCCTGGAACTCATTCTGTAGACCAGATTGACCTCAAACTGATTTAGAGATCTACTTGCCTCTGTCTCCTGGGATTAAAGATATGTGCCACTAGGCCTGGTCTAGATATTTAGAGGTTTTGATGTAGATTAGATTGTGTATTTGGAACTTGGTCATGAGAATATGATACTTTACATTTGTATTTCTTATGATTATTAAGACTAAGGTTAAAGATATGTGCCACTAGGCCTGGTCTAGATATTTAGAGGTTTTGATGTAGATTAGATTGTGTATTTGGAACTTGGTCATGAGAATATGGTACTTTACATTTGTATTTCTTATGATTATTAAGACTAAGGTTCAGAGAGGCTAATTTCCTTTTCTGTTAGAATAAGAAGTCAAATACTAAATTGTTAATGAAGGTCATTCTGGGAGATGCCCAGTACTCTATACTGTTACATGTTGGCTTTTGTGCTTTACAGCCCTTAGACTTCAGTTTGCAGTGGTACTAACAAGGGAATAGGTTGATATAGGGGAAGTATCGTACATATCACAGCTTGGGCTTTATCCAGAAGACCTCAAGGAGCCACTGGAAGGTCTCATGGGGAGTACCATGCTCTGACTTATGTTGAGAGGAAAGATTATAGATGAGAAAGGTTATAACAAGCATCCAGTGTGCAGAATTGTTCCCTATGTTCTTTCTTATCTTCACCTGGTATAGTGACCCAGCTGAGATTTGGAGACAGAAAGTGAGTTCCAGAGCATCCTTATGGTGGAAACACTGGCAGTATGAAGGGAGCTATCCGCCACAGCTGTTCTGAAACCTGGCAGACTGACAAGACATGGCACAGAAGTGTTTGCTACAAACAGAAGGGCTTCACAGTTATTCTAATGATTGTTGTGAAATGGATCATAGTGGAGGTAGCCCAGACAGAACTCCTGATAAACTGGATCAAGCACATGCAGTGGGAGGGAAGATCACTAGCGTTTTAGAAGTGAGATTTTCTCACTGAGCAAGAGAGGAGTATGAGAGAAGCAGATGTTTGGGAGCCATGGAGGGTGAATCCTACCCTTGTGCTGGTTTTGAACATTAAGAGCCTTCCTAGATATCTGTGTGGATAGGGAGTTGGATATGGTAACGTGGCTCCTGGAGACACGTCTGAGATAAAGAGGTATGTTTAGGAATAATCTTGTAGCTTTTTCAATCCATGAGACTAGAGATGCTCCCTTAAGCAATAAACATAGAAGATGTCTGAGGACAGTCTTGGGGGGGGATCACGACATCTTTATATTGTGTGGTGGAAACTAATGGGGTGGGAGGAAAGGCCAAAACGTTTCAGGTGGAGTAAAGGGAGACTGGGACATTGCATTTAGCAGTAGCAAGTTCACTGGAGACTGACTGTTCAGACCTGTGCTGATAGAGGGTGGGGCTGATTACAGTGACCTGAAGAGAACATGAGAAGGGGAGGAATTAGGGAAAAGAGGGTGGATCAGTACTTCGGAGGAAGGTTGCTGTAAGGACAAAGAAGATGGAGTAGCCTGAGAGGTGTGTGGGGTCAGGGGATCTGATCGCGTTTTAAAATTGGTGATAGTGTGACGTTTCTCTGTTGGCTGATGGATTAAGAGGGAAGATAAAAGTTGATAAAGCAGAAAGAGGAGGCAGTTACCACTGTGATGTCCTCGAGTAGGTGAGAGGGATGTGATGCCCTGCACAAGGCTGCATAGTGGAGCAACTGGCCACAACCAGGAGCCAGTACATTGATTGGTGTCAGCAGAAGAAAGGGAGAACGTACAGGTTCAGGTCGAGGTTGATCATTAGTTTGGAAGATAGCTATAATAAACACTCCTTTCTGATTGCATCTGGGTTGTTTCTTAGTGAAATCTGAGAGTGAGGATGAGGGAGGAAATTTTTTTGAGGTGATAAGAGAATGTTTGAAATAGCCACCATGCAGAGAACTTGTCCTAGAGCTGTAGCTCTGGGAAGAGCGGGTGCTGCAAGTGTAGCATGGGGCTTAGTTTTTCTTGTAACTCAGCTGCATGAGTCTAGACTTGGAGTAGGTAGAGATGTGGATGTTACTGGGATTGGAGTTTTTCCAAGACAAATAAGTATGTTGGAGAAGAAAGAGGAGGTGTATAAAAGGGGATGATTATAGTAACAATTTAGAATGTAAGTTTGGTAAAGAGAGAGGTGAGGAGGCAAGAGAAACGAAGGACAGGGCGGGATACAAACCCAGTGGATCACACATTCTGAGGATGAAGAACTGCTGGAGGCAGGAAACAAGCGAGAATGTGCTGGAAGATGTAGGTGGTGGTTATGGAGAATGAGCTTTATTAGGACCTGTGGGTACAGCCAAAGCTGAGGCAGTGACTGGGAGCTGGCTATGGAGAAGTAAGAGAACAGTATTTTGGAGGGAGAGGTCAACACCTCAACCCACGATTTGAAATCATCACTGGTATAACCTGAACTAGTATTGCAGCAGGTGATAATAAACTAGGTGCTGACTGAGAAACGTGGACATGAGAAGGCCTACAGGCCAGAATGGCAGGTGGAACAGACTGATGTCCTAGGCCAGAAGGGCCGTTCTAATGAGGTAGGTATGATACTGGCTTGGAAATAGTAATGGGAAGCAAAGATACCATCTGCTTCCAGACTGGAGCTTCAGGGAGTACAGGAGAGAAGCTGGCCGTGGGAGCCTGTAGGGAAAGTGTTCTCCTGTAGGTGTCAGCTGCAAGGAGCGAGGTGGTGTTCCATGAGGCTGAGGTTACTAACAGTGCTGAGAAGCTGGTGCAGTGGGGATTCTAGTCCCTTGTTGAATATATCAGCAATGTTTTAACCAACATGGAAGAGAGAATGAAAGTAGGATAAAAAATTCCTTTATTGAAACAGGTTTTGCTTTAAAATATTCATTTTGTCAATTCCTAGGTAAAGTGAGAATGTAAGTCTTTTAGCTGTTTTCACTGAGCAGCCTGCTCTCCCATCTCAGTATGCTATTCTTCCTTTGATAAACTTACATTTTTGCTTAAAAAACAAAAATCAAAGTATGTAAACCTTCCACATGCTGTTTCTTTGCCTTGTGCGATAGTCCTCTCAGCTCTGTCCCTCCCCAGCTTGTCCAAGGACAGAAGCTAGAGAGATGTTGAAGATCTTGGGGGGCATTAAATTGCTGATGGAATGAGAGTATTTTATTGTTTTAGTTTTTCCAAGACAGTCCTTGAACTCCCTATCCCCTGCCTCAGCCTTTCATGTGTGCATCACCAGGCCTACCTTGGGAAGAGGTTCTTGTAGAGGGAAGGGAGCATGAGCAGAAGTCGAGGTTTTAGAAATGCGTGCATTTGCCTCTCCGAACACTGCCTCCCTCTTGGAAAAACTGCAGTCCCAGTAGCACCCAACTGAGTGGCATGGCACATTCCTAGCATGTGCAAGGCCCTGGGTTTGGTCCCCAGTATTGCCATCCCCCCCAAAAAAAGTCAATTGGAAAAAAATTGTTTTCAGCCTGGCATTGTGGTTTATTACTGTAATTCCAGGACTTAATAGGTTGAGACAGGAGGATCAGGAGTTCAATGTCTTCCTTGGCCACCTATCAAGGCCAGCCTAGGCTACCTGTCAAATACAGCCTGGGCTGCATGAGACCATATCTCAAATAATAAATAAGTGTGTGTGAGCTGAATGGGCCAGAAAGGTAGGGGGATTTAGGAGTTTACCATCTGATGGCTTGTATTGACTTATTAAAATAGAGAGCAAAGCCATCTGTTTACTGTGAGTGTGATGCTGCTTTGATGCAGAATGGAAGATTGCTAAGAAATATTGCTGGGCACACTTTGAGATCTCTTGACGTTAGGAATTTGTTTTTTAAAAGTTAGCTGTCTTTCTGGTTCATGAGTTTATATAGAGATCTTGGTATACCAGATATAGGTTGGAGTTTGTTCATGAAGCTAGACTAAGACAAGCGGAGAGTCATAGGTGGGTGTTTGAAGGAATGTGTTACATTATATAACCAGAGTGGAAAGTAGTGAAAATGAGGTGCGAGAGAGAAAGGAGTTCAGAATTCTGGAGACCTAAACAAAGTAAAAGGGCTGATACAGTGATGTAAGGACACGGGGTTCGTGGAAGCATGTTTTATTTGGAGAATAGGAAGTTGGAATGGAGCAGAGTTCCAGGTGATGCCTAGATTGTGGCCTTTGAAATACATGCTTGAAGCCCAGTGAGGAATAGTCATTGGGAGTTAGGTCATCAGAATACCAACAGCCTTCCTGCTAGTGGTTTAGATAGTTCATCCTTGTGGATATTTTAGTTACATGATACCCCACCAGGCACTGAAATAGAAGGACCAAGTGCCAGAGTCTTGAGTGAGTAAAGGTAGTACTTAGGAGATGGAAGACAGTGTTGATTGGAGTAGAGGGTGAGCTTGCTGGATGGTGGAGTCTCGATGGTACATCAGGTGGAGTTCAGGTGAAGACAGCAGTGAGATGGTGAGGTCAAGGCTCTAGTATAAGTGTTCTTGTATCATCATGTACCTGTTCCTTTATCGCCTCTGCTCCTACTTTCTCCCTAATTATTTGTTGCATGATTTTTTATTTTTGGTGTGTGTGTGTGTGTGTGTGTGTGTGTGTGTGCACGCACACATGTATCTGTGGGGGTATATGTACATGCATGTGAAGGCCAGAGGTTAATCTCAGGTGTTTTTCCTCAGTTGCTGTCCACCTTGTGTTTGAAGCAGGGTCTCTCACTTAGCCTGATTCTCACCATGATATTAGGCTAGGCTGACTGGCCAGCTAACCCCAGGGATCCATCTGTCTCTGCCTCTCCAGTGCTTAGATTACAAATGTGTGCCACCATGCCTGGCTTTCTTAAAAGTGGTTTCTGAGAGTCAGACTCAGGTCCTCTTGCTTATGTGGCAATCATTTGACCAACTGAGCTGTATCCCTAGCCCCAGTTAAGATTCTTTTTTGTGTTTTTTTTTTGTTTTGATTTTGATTTTTTTTGAGACAGGGTTTCCCTGTAGCCCCAGCTGGCCTGGAACTTGCTATGTAGAGCAGGCTGACCTTGAATTCAGAGTTCTGGCCTTGAATTCAGAGATCTGTCTGCCTCCTGAGTGCTGGGATTAAAGGTATGCACCACCATGCTTGGCTAAGATTTGTTTTTAATAAATAGCTTGTTCATAGGGAATAATGAAGTCATGTAACCTTTTTGAATTAACTTCTCACTTGTCTAATTTCTTTGTGGAGACTAAAATTTTGGTTTTCTGGGGCAGGAGGAGTTAGACATTCGAACACTGCAAACTAAAAATCGTAAGCTAGCAGAAATGCTAGATCAGCGGCAGGCCATCGAGGATGAGCTTCGAGAGCACATTGAGAAACTGGAGCGACGGCAGGCCACTGACGATGCCTCGCTGTTGATTGTAAACCGGTACTGGAGCCAGGTAGCTGCCGGTCTGTTCACTCACATTTGTATCAGCATTTTAGTCTTGTGCGCTCTTCATTTCTAAACTTACATCCTTTTCTCTTCGTTACAATACTCTTCTCTAGTTTGATGAGAACATCCGTATCATCCTTAAACGTTACGATTTGGACCAGGGTTTGGGAGACCTACTCACAGAAAGGAAAGCTGTAGTTGTCCCGGAACCAGAACCTGACTCTGATAGCAATCAGGAGCGCAAAGATGACCGAGAGAGAGGTGAGGATTTATGAGGGATTCTGTTGTTACATGAGTGATCTAGGGTTTTGAAGTTGAGCTTTGCTTTGAGTCTCTGTTGGAGAAGAAAAAGCAGATTTCTTTTGTTATTTTCACTTTGATAACTTTGGTCTTTTCCTCCCCCGTGTCCTCAGGGGAAGGGCAAGAGCCAGCTTTCTCTTTCCTTGCCACTTTGGCCAGCAGTTCCAGCGAAGAGATGGAGTCCCAGCTGCAGGAGCGCGTAGAGTCCTCCCGCCGAGCTGTGTCCCAGATTGTGACTGTCTACGATAAACTACAAGAGAAAGTGGAGCTCTTATCCCGGAAACTGAACAGTGGAGGTGAGGAGAGAACCTGGGGCAGTGGGGAGGCTCAGGGTGCAGCTCAGTGTAGAACGTGCTAGGTATGTATGGGGCCCTGGGTTCTTTCAAAAACAGGTAGAGAACTCACTTTAATTAAGCTTCTTGGAATCCTAAACCTCATTTCTAGTGGTTCTATTATTGCTGTGTTAGCTAGATACTCTAAGTAGCAGAATTCATTTAGATGTTGCTGATTTCAAAGGATGATTTTTTTCATGCTCTTTTTTTTCTTTTGTTTCTAATGCTTTTAAAGAGCGTTAGATGAGGAAATAGAGTAGTAAGATGATTTCTGTGCTTGAAGAGCTAGAACAGAAAATATATGGATGGGTAAGTACTAAAATTACTATTTGGAGTACTTATAATATTTAGTTTTAATATAAAAGTTTATGTTCATATAGTACAGAAAGGTGTACTCAAATGGCTAAAGAACCTTAGTCATTTGTGACAGATCTCTTCTCAAATATGAATAAATGCCTTGATTTCATGTTTCCAGTAATGACAATAGTCTGATTGTAATATCTTACTCACCCTGATTCTTACAAAGATATTTAACCTTTCATCTCTAAAAGAAAATAATTAAATATAAAGTGGTTGAATCATTGGGTGGGCAAGTAGGAAATATATTATTCTTTTTTTTTTCTTTAATATGACTTTATTCATACATTTATTTAACAAAGACCTTTACTCTCCAACTTTTAGTTTTTTTAATTAAAATTTTTTTGATTTATTATTTTTGTATATTAGTGTTTTGCCTGCATGTATATAAGTGCACTTCTGTCATGCAAATCCTGGAGAGGTTAGGAGAAGGTGTCGGATCCTCTGGAAGTGGAACTAGGGACAGTTGTTAGAGGTCATGTGGCTGTTGGGAATCAAACCTAGGTGTTCTGGAAGAGCAGCCAGTGCTTTTAACTGTCTTTCAGACCCCTTAAATTTTTTTTTTTTAATACTAGGGCTTGGAGAGATGGCTCAGCAGATAAGAGCACTGACTTCTCTTGCAGAGGACCCAGGTTTGATTCCCAGAACCCCCATGGCAGCTGACAACTGTCCATAACTCCAGTTCCAGGGGATTTGAAGCCCTCTTCTGACTTCCTCGGGCATTGCACAACACGGGTGCACTCACATGCATGCAGGCAGTACACTCATACACATAAAATAAAAATGATAAAAATAAAAAATATTTAAGAAAAAAAATTTTAATATGTAGAAATGTCGAAAATGTCAAGGTGCGCAGTCATGTTTAGTCCTCACCTGACTTATAGAAATGTGAAAATGTCAAGGTGCCCAGCCGTGTTTAGTCCTCACCTGACTTATAGAAATGTGAAAATGTCAAGGTGCCCAGCCGTGTTTAGTCCTCACCTGACTTATAGAAATGTAAAAATGTCAAGGTGCACAGCTGTGTTTAGTCCTCACCTGACTTAGAGAAATGTAAAAATGTCAAGGTGCCCAGCTGTGTTTAGTGCTCCTCATCTGACTTACAGAAATGTGAAAATGTCACAGTGCACAGCCGTGTTTAGTCCTCACCTGACTTCCAGCTATTTTCTACATCAATTATCTCTTTGTCTCTCTCTTGTTCTATACACAGTTTATTTTTTATTAGGAAAAAAACTTCTGAAATTATTTTCTAAGGGAAGTAGCAAACATTGAGATGCTTTCCTCAAAAATGTTTGAGCTTGTATCTGGTAAGGACAGGGGCATTCTCCATCATAACCCTGACCTCGTGATCACATCCCACATTGGCTCAGTGCCTGGCACACAGTCTGCCCAGTGCCCCCATCTCACCCCTGTATGCTTTGTGTGTTTGTTTTTGTTTTCTTTTTTTTAAAGTATTACTTTTATTTTATGTGTGTGAGTGCGTTGACTACATGTATATAAGTGTACCCATGTTCTGCAATGCCCGTGGAGATCAGAAGACGGAGTCAGATCCCCTGGAACTGGAGTTATGGTTGGTTGTTAGCTGCCATGTGGGTGCTGGCAATCGAACCCAGGTCCTGTGTGAGAGCAGTCATTGCTCTTAACCTCTGAGCCATCTCTCCAGACTTTGTTTTTGTTTTCTGCACTGCTGGTGATTGAACCCAGGAACTCACATTCTAGGCAGGTGCTTTACCACTGAGCTATCGCTGACCCCTTATACTCCATCATAGCCTTTAGGTCCGGTGGAGATCCAGACATTGCATTTGCTTGTCATTTGTCATGGAAATATATTACTCTGTAATTTTATTTTTAAGGACTGTTTGGGCTAAATAGTCACCAGAATTAGTAGAATTAGGAACCATGTAGAACTTTGGTTGACAAACTGTAAAGTTTAAAAAAATTTTTTTTTAATTTTTTGTTAGTATTAGTGTGCTTTTTTTTATTTTTTATTTTTTTATGTGTATGAGTGTAGTGCCTGCATGTAGGTAAGTGCACCCATGTCCTGCAATGCCCACGGAGGTCAGAAGAGGCTGTTGGATCCCCTGGGACTGGAGTTACGGACAGTTGTTAGCTGCCATGTGGGTGCTGGGATTCAAACACGGGTCTTCTGCAAGAACAACCAGTGTTCTTAACCTCTGAGCCATCTCTTCAGCCCTAGTGTTAATATGCTTTTTACTTGTAATTTATTATTAGGATGGCATAGACTATGGGACGCGAAAGGACTCCTCCCTGTCACTATAAAACAAGCTGTGTTTTCCTGTCTCCTTTGCTTCTAATTGAATAGCTAGAGGGTACTACTGAATCCTGGTAATGTGGGTAATATACCACATACAGAGGCAATTTTGATATATTCAGTGAACATCAAACAAATTAATTGCTATATTTGTAAGGGACTAAACTGATTAGTCTATCGAACAGTACTAAGAAATTATTTTTGGAATTCTGGGCCCATGGGATGCTCTGAAGGTGGAGATACTTCCACACAGGCCTGACGACCAGAGTTCAGTTGGTGGATCCCATAAGGTGGCAGGAGAGAACCAGTTCTGATAGATTATCCTCTGATTTTCACATGCACATGCCTGTACACACACGACACACAAAGACAAAGAATTTTTGGTTTTCTGAGACAGGGTCTCACTGTGTAGATCTGCCTATCTTTGCCTGGGAGTTAAAGTACTGGGATTACCTGCCTGGCCTAGCAAAGGATTGTTTTTGATGATGTATTTTAAGATCAGGTTTAAGTTAAAAAATAAAAACATCTTACTACAAATTACAAATAAACTCTTCTTTGTAACCCAGTGGAAATTGCAGTTGGAAGAGAGATAAAGGCATATAAAGTATGAATTGTAATATTGAGTATTAATTTTCTAGAAGTTCCTTTTCAGCTATGGGTTTGGTTCTTGGTTTTTTTTTAAATATTTTATTTAATATTTTTATCTTATGTGTATGAGTGTATTACCTGCATGTAGGTAAGTGCACCCATGTTGTGCAATGCCTGCGGAGGACAGAAGAGGCCGTCGGATCCCCTGGAACTGGAGTTACGGACAGTTGTTAGCTGCCATGTGGGTGCTGGGATTCGAACCTGGGTCTTCTGCAAGAACAACCAGTGTTCCTAACTGTTGAGCCGTCTCTCCAGCCCCATGGTTCTTGTTTAAAAGGAGTTAGTTGTAGCTTATTTATTAAAGCACTGACTACTCATTGACTTTTTAAATGTATCCTAGGCCCTGTCTTCAGTACTTGAAATATTGAGAGGGCTAAGATATAGTCTCTAATTCTTAACTCAGATTGAATCTGAATCACCGTTTATTTATTTACTTATTTAGGTCCTACTTAAGGAAATCTCATTCAGTAGGTTTGGATCCCATTTATTTAAAATGTCTATTTTAAACATTATGGCTGGGTGTGGTGATGCATGCCTTTAATCCCAGCATTGGGCAGGCAGAAGCTGTCAGATATTTGTCAGTTTAGGGCTAGCCTGGTAGGGAGTTGCAGGTCAGCCAAGGCTACATAGTGAGACCCTGTCTCAAAAACAAAAAGTACCATAGGTGATTCTGATGGGCAAGCCTAGATGGAACATTGTGGGAACCCAGCACATCACTGACGTGCTCTGTATTGTTTCTGAGGGTGCTGGCACAGGTAGTGTGGGAGCTCATTCCCCCAGCAACTCTCCAGGGTAATGTATATCCTGAGACTAATTGGTTCTGTTCATGACACTTAGATGTGAGCTCTGCTAGTCATGACACTAACTGTAAACACATGGATTTGGCATAAGTTCTAAAGACTTAACTCTTTTGTAAATAGTAGTATACATTTTGGTTTTTGAGCTTCAGGATTGTATTTGACATCACATTCTAGTCAGGCATGGTGGTGTGCCCCTTTAATTCCCACACTCAGGAAGTAGAGGCAGGCCAGCCTCCTTTATAGCTCTAGGCCTCTCCAGGCTACACAGGGAGATCCTGTGTCAAAAACAAACAGAAGACAGCAAGCAACAAAAACCCCAAACAAAACAAAACAAAAACCCCTACTGAATTCTAGGTTGTGGTAAGTGACTCAGCTCTAACCTTTGTTCTTCATGATTTTATGCAGCTTATTTATTTGAAGATAGAAATTCTGCTTCTTGCCCCTCTCCCAACAGAGAAATGCTTCAGGTTTGATATTCAGTGTAATCAGAAATTGTGATCACTTTATAAAATAGAATTATACTGTTAATTCTGGCACCGATTAAAAATCTTGTCTTTCATTCTAAAATGCAGTGTGTTGGGGCAGGGATTATATTGTATGCTAATAAAATGATTTAGTCTTCATTTATTTTCTCAAGACATTTGACTTAATGGAAAGAGCCGAGATGAGGTGATGTAGCTGCAGGCTGACTCATTTCCTTAGCAGGTTACCTGTCAGCTAACGTCTGGTGCTTCATTGGTCCCATGAGATAGTGAACTCTCGCTTATGTCCTCACGTTCTGAGGAAGTGAAGCTGGCCTGTGAATGCTTTGGTGCAATACATGGCTTTAAAATTTGGCACTATAGATGCTAAACTAAAGTGCAGTTCTTCTTTCCCAGACAGTCTAATAGTGGAGGAAGCGGTACAGGAGCTGAACTCCTTCCTTGCCCAAGAGAATCTGAGGCTACAGGAACTGACAGACCTCCTTCAGGAGAAGCATCACACCATGTCTCAGGAGGTACTTGACCAAAAAAGGGATGGTAGTTTCTAGTAGCTCTGGCTGATGCTGCTAATTGTGAGAATTTGAAAAGTCACCTTATTCTAGACAGCATTCCTTTGTATATTGAAGAACTTTCAGGGCAAAAGCAGTCAATTCTGAGAGACTGAAGCCTGTGGGAAGGTTAAAGGAAGAAGATAATTTCTCATCACCGGGAAGAAATGTCACAACACAACAAAAGTTCTAAATCTCCCAATAATTAACTGCTCTAAGCATAAAAGATTATGGATAATGTTATTACAGAATGGCTTCGTGAAAATTCAGCAGATAATGGAGAAGGGGGTTTTGGAGTTGATGATGTCCTAGGAATTTGAGGAATGTGTTTTCATTGTAGGCTTGGCCGCTGATCATGTCATGAGCCAACCATGTCAGGGTTTGGGTCTTTAGCTACTTGGACGATTGGGTCTTCTCATGCTCCTAAGTAACATTTTGCTGGTTCCTGTGATCCGGTGTTGAAATTTGACCTATCTTGGTTTGGCCACCAAATTTTCATTCCAATTAGTAACTTAGGAGTTACTAATTACTTGGCGCCCTAACATCTAAGCACTTATCATATTATTATTAATGTCAAAATGACTCTCATTTTACTGCCAAGGAAACCAATGGAACATTAATGACTGGTTGGAGAATAGGTGGTTAGAAAATGTGATTAGATCATAAATCTTTTGAGCTGCAGAGCCATGTTTTCCAAAATATCTTGTTTCTTAAGCTCTAGTGTTAGGATCTTTGCTGGGCTGACTGAACATCATTTGGGGAGTTTATGAAGCCGTGTATTTTGTAGACATGTCATGTGCTGTCAGAGGGGCTAGAGTATAACAGCATTTGCAAAATACTTGGGAATGTCATGTTTTAGGACATTGAACTAGGTGTTACTAAAATAGAAAGTTCTTTTTCTGAGGCCCAGTTCTTAGCAACAGTAAACAAAGGGACATTTTTTTTGCTCCCATGAGTTCATGTGCAGGTGGCTGTCATTGCTGGTTCTTGATGCTGCCTGTCAGCGGGGAGCACACCTCAGTTGACAGCTGGAGTGCCTGCAGGTATTGTCTCCCTCGTGGCAGTCTCCAGCCAGTCGGGTTTCTTACATGGCAGTCAGCTTCATGTCTTAAGTGTTATAAGAACCCCAGGTAGACTGTGCATGGTCTTTGTGACAGAGCCTCAGCTTTATATAGTGTTAGTTTTGCTGGCCACCAAAGTTGTCCCAGAATCAAAAGGAGGAACAGATTCCCACTTCTCAATGAGAGAGGCTTGTCAGGACAAAGAACACATGATGGGTGTGTGCAGAATGATAGGAACACAACATGGACAATTTTGTAATTAAGATGAACAGCATTGGCAGGTACACATCTCCTAAATGAAGTAGGATTGGGAGATGGCTTAGTGGAGAAGTGCTTGCCATGTAAGCCTGAGGATCGGAGTTTAGATCCCCTGAACTTTCGTTAACACTGGATGCAGCAGTGAGCCTTTGTAATCTCAGTGCTCCTAGAGGCCCTGGAAGTTCATGGGCCAGCTAGCCTGATACATCTCAGCAGACCGTGTCTCAAACAAAGTGGGAGATGAGGACCAACACATGGAACAAGCACACACTCATGTACACAGGACATATACATATGTAAAAATTACAGTAATTTTGTATCTATAGTACCTGATTATAAACTGCTTTGGAGTCAGCTTAATACTTTTTATTTTCTTCTATATGGATTATCATTTTTGTGGGTATAGGAAGAAAAAAGTCAGGGTAAGGATAGTTGTCTTTATTGAATTCTTATTTTCTAAAATATTTAACAAAATGAAGGATATTATCTTTTGTTTCTTAAAAATTTCTATTTTGGGAGCTAGTGAGATGGCTCAGCAGTTAAGAGCACTGACTGTTCTTGCAGAGGACCCACATGGTGGCTATGAACCATCCTTAACTCTGGTTCCAGGAGAGTCTGAAGCCCTCTCCTGACCTCCACGGCATTGCATGACACGGGTGCACTCGCATACATGCAGGCAATATACTCATACACATAAAATAAAAATAAAGTATAAAAAAACATAAAATTCCTATTTCCTGATGGATTTGTGGTCTAACTTTGCTTTTTAAAGGTAGAAAGATAATTGACTCTTAACTGGTCTTTTTCTTGTGTGAAAGTTCATAGAAATTTTCCTTTTTCATGGTTGTAACAACCTAAGAACTGTAACTAAATCTGTGGCTTTGTTTTTACACTTGTGTGTTGAATAATCTTTTCTATACTTGTATGTGAGCAAGGGTTAATTGTGTAGAATTTGGAAGTTTTCTGACTTGATCTTTCTCTGTTATTTTTCTGAATGCCTGCCTGTCTTTGGGATGTAGTTCTGTAAGCTGCAGGGTAAGGTGGAGACAGCTGAGTCACGGGTGTCTGTCCTGGAGTCTATGATTGATGACCTGCAATGGGATATTGACAAAATTCGAAAAAGAGAACAGCGGCTCAACAGACACTTGGCGGAAGTCCTAGAACGGGTCAGCTCTATTTTATGATGACTTCTTTTAAAAAATATAGTAGTTTCTGTATTTTGACATATTCAACCCTCCACTCCCAACCTCTGGTTACCCCAGAACCTTCACATCCTCTTGTTTTTTTAACCCACTGAATCCAGTTAGGGCTGCTGTAAGTGCAGGTTGTGGGGCCATCCCACAAGAGCATGGCAGCCTCTCAAGGACCTTGGTACCAGAGGAAGACCGACTCTCCTCCCAGCAGCAATCACTTGTCAGTAGCTTGTCAGCTAAGGATGTGGCTTCGTGGCCCTCCCCACCAGTGCTAGAATGTTAACTGGCTTGGTCTTGTGCAGTCACCCACAGCTCCTGTGTGCAAGTAGCCCTGTCTGTCCAGGACACACTGTTTCACAGCATTCTGCCCCTTACTGTCTTTTTCCCCCTTTCCCGAGATGTTCCCTGAGCCTTGGAAGGAGGTCATGTGATGTCAATGCCCCATTTGTGGCCGAGCACTCACAGTCACTTATTTTGAGCACAACTTGACCAGTTGTGAGTCTTTATTAATCAGTGTCTACTGCAAAATAGAAGCTTGCTTTTTTAAGGAGTCATCTCAGATAGGACCAGCCTAGATGAAAGTGATCCTTTGAATGACTTTAGTTACCTGTCTAAAACCTTCCGGTCCCTCACTAAACAGTCTGTGTCTTCTCTGTAGGTGAATTCGAAAGGCTATAAAGTATATGGAGCGGGAAGCAGTCTCTATGGCGGCACAATCACCATCAATGCCCGGAAGGTAAAGTCTGCCCCATTTAGGGCCTTTGACCTGGGGACAGGCCTGTGCCTGGGGTCGTGCAGAGATCCACAAGGAACACAGTGGCGTTTTCAGGAGTGGCTCAGTGAAGGTGGGAAGCACAGCAGTGGGGATGTCGTTCTCATTCACTGTGTTCCCACTTCTTTCTAGTTTGAGGAAATGAATGCAGAACTTGAGGAGAACAAAGAGCTGGCTCAGAACCGACACTGTGAGCTGGAGAAACTTCGGCAAGACTTTGAAGAGGTCACTACTCAGAACGAAAAGCTGAAGGTAGGAGGCACATCTCTGGAAAGCAGAAGCAGATGTTTGTTGATCAACTCTGTGCGTGTGTATGTGTGTGTGTGCGTGCGTGCGTGCACATGTGTGTGTGTGATTTATGAGGGACAAAGAAAATGTGGATACAGTTCAGCCTCTTTGGTGAGATGACTCAACAGATTGAATGTAGAAGAAATGTTCCTCAGGATGGTAAAGGCTGCTTGTGGCCAGCCCGCAGCTAACATCATGCCTAGTGTGGTGTTGAAAGTTTTCCTCTAAGATTAGGGATGTGACAAGGATGGGCACCCAGGCTTTTCTACTCAGTATAGTGCAGAGGCTCAGCCAGAGCAATTAGGCAGGAGTAAGAAAAGGCCGCCTGGAACTCAAGTCCCTATTTAGAGGTGACAGGATCTTACACACAGAAGACCCTAGAGACCTCATCAAAAAACAGAGAGGGGCTAGACTACAGAGATGACTCAGCAGTTAAAAGTGCTGGCTGCTTTTGGAGAGGACCTGAAGAAGACCCAGGTTCAGTTCCCAGCACCCACATGGCAGCTCGCAGCTGTCTGTAAGGCCAATTCCAGGGGATCTGATGATGTTGTCCTCTGGCCTCCATGGCACTACACGCATATGGTGCTCATATGTCTATTCAGGCAAACCATTACGCTTATACACATACTCATATACATTAAAATAAGTCAATCTTTAAAAAAAACCTGAGAGAATTGTAAATGAAAACCAGCAACAACAAAAACAAGCTCATTTTACAATAATGTAAAAAATACTCAGGAATAATTTTAGCCAGAGATCAGGGGATAAAGAAGATGAAATAATGCATAATGGAATATTATTAAGCCTCGAAGAAGAAACTTGGTCATTTGTGGCAACATTGATGAACCTAAAAGACATTTATGTGTTGAATAAAGTAAGCCAGACACAGTAGACAAACACTGGGTGATATATGTAGATCTAAAAATGTGGAAGTCATAGAAACAAAGATTAGAATGGTAGTTATGGGAGGAGACCTTGAGGAGATGCTGGTCAAAAGGCCCAAAGTTTCAGTTGCACAATGGGTCTCATATATAGAATGGTGAGTACTTGATAATCTCTGTATTGCCTACTTAAAATTTGTTAAAGAGTAGATCTTGGGCTGGGGAAATGGCTCAGCGTTTAAGAGCACTGACTGCTCTTGCAGAGGACCCGGGTTCGATTCCCAGTACCCACATGGCGGCTACGAACTGCCCTTAACTCCAGTTCTAGGGGAATCTGAAGCTCTCTTCTCACCTCCACAGTGTTGCATGACACGGGTGCACTCACATACATGCAGGCAGTACACTCATACACATAAAATAAAAAATAAAATATTAAAAAAAGTAGATCTTATATATCCTTGTTACATATAAAGTGGTAATTGAATTATTGTGATTCATTTGTCATTGGTAGTCATTTTAAACAGAATTTGTATATGAAGACATGTTGAATATCCTAAATATGTGCAGTTTTAATTATTCGTAATACACTTGGGGGGCAGTTTGCAGCTCTTATGGATGTGCTGTGCACTTACATATTATCTGTACCCTGCCTTCTGAAAAAGACTTAAAAAGCAAACAGTGAGGATTCATGGACTGAATCAGTCCCCTGACTTAGGAGTTTGAGAAAGATGAGGAGTAGGGTCAGTCAGGGTGAGTAGGGTACATTGCTGTCCAAAATGGATCTTAAGGTGAGTCTGTCTGTAAGAAACAGGGCAGGAGCACGTGCATGCTGTGGGAGGATGGTTGCTCGTATAGTGTTTGTGCCAGCGGAGGCTGCAGAGTTGGCTCTGCAGTTTTTGCAGACGGATGCTTGCTGGTCCTGTTGGTTTTCTTACCTGCCTATTAGAATTTCCCTTCCTTAGGCCTGGCTTTGGGAAGATGAAGATTCTTTTGTCTATAGCAGACTTTTTTATTTCTAGGTAAATTTAAAAAAAAGATACTTGAACTGAAAATGGAAAACAACTTAATTAAAATGGTTGGTAATTAAAGCAAACAGTTGCTTAGGAAGGACATCACCAGTTTTCTACTTGTCAGAAATACTTTCTCTCTGACTGTTGGTGAAGAGCCTGTAGTGTCTGGGCTCTTGGGCTATATTCAAGTGAATATTCTGGTCCTGACAATTTCACTCAGCTCTTCCAGCTGCCCCTCTAGCCTCTTTGTCTCTCTAGGTTGAAACAGTACAGCACATACCAAGACAATCCTGGGTGATGTAGTTTATACAGGGGGAGGGTTTTGCACAGGGGTAGGTGGGTGGACTTATTTACATAGTGATTGCTTCAAGTGTGTTGGGCATCAGTGAGTTCAAGGTACTTCTGGGTGTCTGAGATCCGGGGCATGGATACTTCTTTGTGCTTCTGACTTGGCTTTTCCTTGGGCTTCCTAAGGTGGAATTGCGGAGTGCAGTGGAGGAAGTGGTTAAGGAGACTCCAGAATATCGCTGCATGCAGTCACAGTTCTCTGTCTTGTATAATGAGAGTCTACAGTTGAAAGCTCACTTAGATGAGGCGCGGACCTTGCTTCATGGCACCCGGGGAACCCACCAGCGCCAAGTGGAGCTCATCGAGGTAACAAGCTGGCTTTGTCTTTACTTTGTTGCAGTGGTGGGGATGGAACCCAGGATCTTGCTCATGCCAGGCGAGCACTCTACCACTGAGCCACCCCTGCCCCAACCTGCTTTTTCTTTTGTATGTGATTGCCTGTCTTTCTTAAAGTTAAGTGGAAGAATGCAGTGTAGTTTAGTGGTAATGCATCCAAAGATGCAGTGGGGGAGGAGAGAGCATCCTACTGGATTGTGGAGCCTTCCTGGTTTCACCTGAGAAAGTGAAGGGTGAACCATAATGGTCAGAAAGCTGTAGTTATCAGTAGAAGTGCGGGACTGGAGAGTTGGCTCTGCCGTTAAGAACACTGACTGTTCTTGCAGAAGACCTGGGTTCGAATCCCAGCACCAACGTGGCAGCTAACAACTGTCTGTAACTCCAGTCCCAGGGGATCCGACAGCCTCTTCTGACGTCCGGGGGCAGTGCACGACACAGGTGCACTTACCTACATGCAGACAATACATGCATACACATAAAATAAAAATAAAAAGTTTAAAAAAGAAGAAGTGTGTTTCCAGCAGTGTCAGCCACGTGCATGAAAACGCGAGAGTGAGGCACAGTGCTGCGTGGCTCAGCTCATGCCACGGGGGAGCAGGGTGGAAGCTGCCTCACTACTTGTCGTTGCAGCATTTAATGGCTCCTGTGGGTTCATTTTGTTTTTTAAGACAGAAACTTTGATTTTTTGATTCATGCCTTCTGTGTCTTCTGTAGTCCTTAAGATAATGTTTAAGGTCATGGGAGTTTTCATGGATGTTGGCTGAATAAATGGAATGCTAGTTTACAGTTATTTATATACAGTTTATAGTTAGGTCTCCAGTCAAGTCATAATATCAAAGTTGGAGGCCATTTCCTTTTTTTCTTGATTCCTGCCAGTTTCTAAGCCAGTATCTGGTGTTAAGAATTGAAATGGGAATTTGCAGAGTAATCCATTCTTTTCTTAGCTTGTCCTTTTCTCTTTTTGACTCTTTTGGATTAAATTTAGGAGACAGAATAAAGTTGATATGAATGTTTTATTGATTCCTTTGTCTGTAGCGAGATGAGGTTAGTCTTCATAAGAAGTTGAGAACTGAAGTGATCCAGCTAGAGGATACATTGGCCCAGGTCCGCAAGGAGTATGAGATGCTGAGGATAGAATTTGAGCAGACCCTCGCTGCCAATGAACAAGCAGGTACAACCACTCGGCTCTGTCCTGTAGTCTGTCTCTTGTAAAGGCCTTCTTTGAGATAAAGCATGATTCCCAGACTGTTAATTCTGTCTTAAACTAGAATATGTGAAATACCTTAGCTCAAATTCTGTCATTCATTTGACCCACAGCCTGTGTGTTTGTTTTTTAACTTAGTCAACCAGCTTGATTTTCATCTTCTGAGAAAGCATTTCTTGTGGCAACACTGTGCTGTCGTGAGTCCCTTAGATGCTCTGCTTTCTTTCCCTGTGCTCTTGTCCTTTACTAATGCGGCTGCTCCTGTTCAGGTCCCATCAACAGGGAGATGCGCCACCTCATCAGCAGCCTCCAGAATCACAACCATCAGCTGAAGGGAGAGGTCCTGAGGTATAAGCGGAAACTGAGAGAGGCCCAGTCTGACCTGAACAAGGTAACCTAGAGCAGTAGAGTAAGCACTGCTGTCATGGTGAGGGTGTAGTGAGTGAGGGAAGCAGTGTGGTCCACAGAGGTGATGTGTGCCTCTCCTTTCTTTGTCTCCCAGACGCGTCTGCGCAGTGGCAGTGCCCTCCTCCAGTCTCAGTCCAGTACCGAGGACTCCAAGGATGAACCCACAGAGCCAAAGCAGGATTCTGAGGACCTGTCCACCCAGTCCTCAGCATTGAAGGCCTCTCAGGAGGATGCCAGTGAGGTCAAGTCCAAACGGGACGAAGAAGAGCGGGAACGAGAAAGGCGGGAAAAAGAACGGGAGCGAGAACGAGAACGAGAGAAAGAAAAGGAGCGAGAACGAGAGAAGCAGAAGCTAAAAGAGTCAGAAAAAGAGAGAGATGCTGCAAAGGATAAAGAGAGGGGGAAACATGATGATGGAAGGAAAAAGGAAGCAGAAATTATCAAGCAATTGAAGATTGAACTCAAGTAGGCAGTATTTAGTGATGTAGAGCTTGGGGTTCAGACATAAAGGAATGAAATGTTTAGTGGGACAGCTCGTCTGGTTATTATAGTACTTTAGATGTAGTGGAATGTACAGTAATGTGGCCTCAGTTTTCCATCAGATGAATAGCCAGAACAACCTGCCTGGCTCTTGTGCAGTATAGCTGAATGGTTAGGTATCAGTCAGCCTGTGTTGTGCCTTTACTCCTAGTGAGTCTATATTAAGAGAAGAGATATCATTGAAGTAACCAGAAAATTACTGGAAATTGACCACTGCTCTTTGTTAGATTTGGGTAAATTGATGGCATTAATTATAGTTTAAATTTTATTAAGAGATGTGTGAATCACTCTAACTGAACAGCGTCTGATGTGTTTGCTTTAGTTTATTAGTTTCTAGGTATGCCTGTGTACTAAGAATTCCTTAGGTGGGTTTTGAAAGCCTGTAGAATTTGGACAGAAGGACTGACTCTGCTCAGGGGAACACTACCTTTGTCATGACATAGCTCGGTGCCCCATTTTCTCCTACCTCACCAGCTGCTCTGGCTCTCCGTTTTTCTCTTGTGACTCTGTTGATATTTGAATTTAAGGGATCACCATGCTTAAAGTACCTGAGTTCTCATGAAGTCAAGAAGTTGGATAATTTAGTAAGAGATGAAGTGTTAGTCTTCAACTGATGTTTACAGCTGTCACTGTCAACCCTAGGATTAACAATATATTCTAAACTTTCAAAAATTTCCCCATTTTTTCTCCTTCTTGATCTCTTTAAGACAGACTTTTTCCTTCTATGAAAATCATCTGAATGATTTTGTTTAAATACATCCCTAGACCCAGATCTGTCTACCGACTCTCAGTTTCTGAGTGACACAACATAAATCTGCCTATGTCATAAGTGCTACGTTTTGGAATTTTTTTTTTTTAATTTTATAACTTTATGCAACAGAACTGAAGAGAGAAATAATTCATACCTGCAGCTCTCCTTTTTTTGTGCTGAGTATATTTCAGAAGTCTGTTGACAATCTGTAAAACTGATCTCTTAGGTATGTTATGCAGTATTGTGTTCCATCCCAGGTTCTCCTGCTCCAGTGCCCTTTGTTTTCTCAGCCCATCTTTCCTTCCCCTCTACTGCCCTGTCCTAGGAAAGCCCAAGAGAGCCAGAAGGAGATGAAGCTACTGCTCGACATGTACCGCTCTGCCCCAAAGGAACAGAGAGACAAAGTGCAGTTAATGGCAGCTGAGAAGAAGTCTAAGGCAGAGGTAAAGCAGCCCGCCACATCCTTCATTCTGGTGGAAGTCATTGGGGCTCATCCTCCTTCTCAGAGATGTTTCTTTGTCTTTAAAGCTAGTGTTGTACTTAGCAGCATTTCCGCCTTTTCAGTGCTACAGCCTTTAAAATCTGCAAGGTGGTAAATATATCAGAATTATACAAAATTGGAATAGGTTTTTAAAGTAATCTATTCCTCACCTATTATAAGTTATTACTATAGTGATTTTCTTCTGATTGCTTTTGAGAGCAATGCTTTAAATTGAAAATTTGAGGCCTAAGGAGAAAAAGGTTGAACACAGAAAGCATATGTGTAGTCCTTGAAACCCGCTCATAGAAGCGTAAAACGAAGGAATGATATTAAACGAGTTGTCATGTGGTGAACTGTAGCATTTATCATTATTTTATTGTTTTGTTCTAGTTCTGTAAGTGTTCCTTTGGTTCTGTAAGCCTTTGCACACTGTTAATTGATGTTTGAGATGTGTAATGACTTCTCTTCATTGTTGATGTGATCCTTTTCCTCCTATAGTTGGAAGATCTCAGGCAAAGACTCAAGGATCTGGAGGATAAGGAGAAGAAAGAGAACAAGAAAATGGCTGATGAGGATGCCCTGAGGAAGATCCGGGCTGTGGAGGAGCAGATCGAGTACCTGCAGAAGAAGCTGGCCATGGCCAAGCAGGTGGGCATGCTGTCTGCTCTGGCTGAATGCTACTGCCAGTGAAACTTGCTCTTCTACCTAGTCTTTTTGTTGTTCATAATTTTATCCTTTTTCTCTTTATTATCATATTGACATCTTTGTCCTTTGTATCTGGAAGGCGGAGAATTTCTTCCTACTTTTAGCTGGATAGCTGTTGTCTCTAGCATTGTTTAGTGAGGCCTCTTCTTTTGCTGCTGACCAAAAACTAAGGGGTCTAGTGATTCAAACATAACAGATTCTAAGATTTGTATAGCCATTGTGATTATAGACTTAGGAAAGCAAGAAGCTGCTTCCCCTTCAGGTTATAAATCATCAGTGTGGATGGTTGAGCTGTAAAACTCATCTCCCCCTTCAGATTGAGTGTATTCCTCTATTGTTCACTCTTAGTGAATTTTCATTAACATTCATTAATAAAGACAACAGTGTTGTATGATGCTGTTCCTGGGGGGAGTAAATGAATAAATGTCTGCTCATACAAGATAAGGAGCCAGCAACAGACCAGAGTTCAACTTGGTGAACCATTGAGTTGTATTGGAGTTACTTATAGGAGCAGAAATGACTCCAAGACAGCTGCATTACCAAAAGTTCACCCCAGCATGGGTGACATCTCATGAAAGCAGGGAACCCTGAGCGCACTGCACAGCCTGAAGGCAGTTCATCGGGTTGGAGAGTGTCCTTTCTGGGCATCTTGGCTGAGTTGTCTGAGAGTGGTCTCCACAGTCCTTATGGTTTATATATGCTTGGGAGAGAGAGGCATAGGGTTTCTGATCAATTTCACGGGCTCCCAAGTTTAAGGAGTTTCCCTGCAGGATGGAATGTTTTACCTCCTTTAGAGCATTCTGTATCTTAATGAGTTTCCCTCCAAGATAGAAGTTTTTGTATCTAAGGAAATTGCTACAGAACAGCCCACTCTGGGTGTATTGGCATATGCTTGTGATCCCAACTGGAGAGGCTCAGGTAGGGGGATAATGAGCTCAGAGCTGGCTTGCACCTCGCAGAAAGACCCATTCTTAACAATAACAACAACTCCACCTTTAAAAAAAGGACAACCATGCATGCTTTGGGTTAAAAAAAAATAAATTGGCTTTTTAAAAATGATTTGCTTGCTACTTTTTTTGCTCTTTCAAAAATAGCTATCAGGAAATTATACTGTTACAGTTCTTCAAGCAGATGAGAAAGACTCATGTTTTATATGTATTATTCACTCTTTTTTTTTCTTCTTCTTCTTTTTTTTTTCTTCTTCTTCTTTTTTTTTTTTTTTTTTTTTTTTGTGTGTGTGTGATGGGTTCACTGTGTAGTTCAGGCTATACTCAAAACTCCCCATTGGCCTCAGCCTCCCAAGTGCTGGGATTATAGTTGTGCCACCATGCCCAGCTTCTATTCAGTATCTTAATGTTAAGTAAAGTTACTGAGATCCTAATTAAAGTACTATTTTCTGTTTAGTTTGAGATAGGCAAATTAATCTTAGAATGCATATGAGACAGAATACAAGAGTGATGAAAACTACTGAAAAAGAACAGAAGAGGGTCTCTAGCATATGTTAAAATGTAGCACTCCAGTATTTAAAATAATTTGGGGTTATTGGACAGACTTAGAATGTCAGTTCAGAAATGGACCGATATGTTCAAGGGGATTTAATATGTGCCAGCATTATGGTTTTAAATTAATGTTAGAAGAGAAAGATTGTTCAGTATGGTGGGACAAAAATTAAAAATAGTTTTGAACAAAGTAGGATATATACTTGAATATTTAAATCATGACAGTTTCCAAATGGATCATAATCATGCTGCTTTTTAAAAAGGTGAGTCCTTCAAAGCCAGGAAGGAAAGCAGGTGTTCCTGTATGAATCTTGAATAGGCCTTTCAAATTGTTAATACAAGGCTCAAACATACACATACACACACACACACACACACACACACACACACACACACACACACACAACATCTACATAGTAAAAACAGAACTTGCAAAGTAACAGATTAAATAAGAAAAAGGGGGGAAAACCCCTTTTAGCTCTCATCACAAAACTTATTTTTCATTCTAATATTTTGTAAAAATGAGCACAGTCCCAGGAACCTGTAAGACTCTCTTTCCATATGATCATGCACTTCCTCCCCTGGTTTTTACAATCCTTCTGCCCCCTCTTCCACAATGGCTCCTGAGCCTTGGGTGGGTAAAGTTTAATATAGGAATCCTCTCCAAAGACCCACACTCCACAGACTCTCATTCCCTATGCTTTGGCCATTTGTGGCCCTTTTTGTTTATTGCCCTGTGATGCATGAGGGAGCTTCATTGATGAGAGTTGAGAGAGGCATTAGTATTCTCTCTACCCCTTGTTCTATGATGTTCCATGAGCCTTAAATGCAGAGGTTCCATTGTAGATGTGTCACTTAGGGTTGGGCATTTCACGGACACTTGATCTGTGTATGTGATCACTTGAACTCTGCAATAGTCTCCACCTGTTATAAAAGAAGCTTCTTTGATGGGTGGTGACTTAGATACTTGTCTGTAAATATAAGGATCCACATTTAGCACATAGTAAGAAATTACATTTGTCTAGGGATGTGACAGCCTTAGGGTTTTCTGTAAGATCTGTGACCAGCCAGGTGTAATTGGCTGTGTTTACAGTACCACACGTTTCTTCCCATTGAATGGGCCTTAAGTTCAATTAGGTAGTTGTTGATTACCCCCAAGGTAAAAGTGCCACTACTGCCTCCATATAGTTTGCTGTGCCAGTCATTGTTGTGGTTATTAGGGCTTACACAAAATTCAATTAAAAATATACAAAAAGTATTTTTTTAAAATGATGTGCAAGAGAACCAACAACTGAGTAGAATAGGTAAAATATATTCATACATATTTTTCAGAAGTTTGCAGAAAGGAATTTCCATTACTCCTAAACATGAACCATTCTTTTTTATAATAAGACAACTGTAAATTAAAGCTGTTGTTATACCATTATCAGAATGTTAATTATACTGAGCTAAAGATGTTAGAAAGTCTGTAGATTAAATTTAGTATTGTAATTGTGGAAAAGTATGAGAAGATGTGAGCAAGACATTGTGGTAGAAGTTCTTTGATCGGCTGCCTGATCAGTTTGCTAGCTTAAATTCCTATTTGCTTTAATGGGCTCCAGGTACAGACCAGTTGATAAGTATCAGAGCAACAGTTAGCATTGATGACTTCAGTGTTAAGGCTTTTGTATTCCCAAGGAACCAGAGACAAAACTAAGCTCATTAACAAAGCTGCTTAAATAAGTCTGTCTGTCACCAAATTGACTTGCATGGAGGTGAGCAGAGCAAAGGTCTAGTTTCCTCTGTTCATTCTTTGGTGTCCATAGATTCTGTTAACAGAGCCCTCATTTTAGGAGGAAGAAGCTCTCCTCTCTGAGATGGATGTCACAGGCCAGGCCTTTGAAGACATGCAAGAGCAGAATATCCGCTTAATGCAGCAGTTGCGGGAGAAGGATGACGCAAATTTCAAGCTAACATCAGAGCGGATCAAGTCCAATCAGATCCATAAATTGCTTAAAGAGGAAAAGGAGGAGTTAGCAGACCAGGTTTTGACTCTGAAGACTCAGGTAATTAGGAAGAGTAGAGTGTTTTAAGTAGAGTGTTTTTTACATGAAGACACCTGCAAAAGTAATCCTTGTGACTTTTCTTGGTGTGTGTGTGTGAATGTGTGTGTGAGAGAGAGACAGAGAGAAATCCTGAAAACTAAATTTACATTAGAGTATGGGTAAAAAGATTGCACACATTCCTACACGTTAAAACTCATGGATGTTTCTTCTTACCCGGTTACAGTTTGGATATTAGGAATGAGTTTGTGAGGGCCCAGAAATGGATGTGTGGTTTTACTTTTTTTTTTTTTTTTTTTTTCGGAGCTGAGGGCCGAACCCAGGCCCTTGTGCTTGCTAGGCAAGCGCTCTACCACTGAGCTAAATCCCCAACCTCTGGTTTTACTTTTTACTCTTTAGTATTGTTTAATTCTACTTTTTTCATTAATTTCGAGAAAAGACTACTTCAGAACCTTTAGCTATTCTGAAAGAAATAGTTAGACTTTTGTTTCAGCCAAATTTATCTGTTCTAGTGGAGTTTATCTGTTCTAGTAGGAGTTTGCATGTTCTAGAGGGAGTTTACCTATTATAGTAGGAGTTTACATGTTCTAGTAGGAGTTTATATGTTCTGGTAGGAGTTTGCATGTTCTAGAGGGAGTTTACCTGTTCTAGTAGGAGTTTACATGTTCTAGTCATTTATATGTTCTAGTAGGAGTTTATATGTTCTGGTAGGAGTTTATCTGTTCTAATAGGAGTTTATCTGTTCTCGTAGGAGTTTACATATGTCTAGTAGGAGTTTACATGCCCTAATAGGAGTCTACATGTTCTAGTAGGAGTCTACCTGTTCTAGTGGGAGTTTATATGTTCTAGTAGGAGTTTGCATGTTCTAGAGGGAGTTTACCTGTTCTAGTAGGAGTTTACATGTTCTAGTCATTTATATGTTCTAGTAGGAGTTTATGTTCTGGTAGGAGTTTATCCGTTCCAATAGGAGTTTATCTGTTCTCATAGGAGTTTACATATGTCTAGTAGGAGTTTACGTGTTCTAGTAGGAGTCTGCCTGTTCCAGTAGGAGATTATATGTTCTAGTAGGAGTTTGCATGTTCTAGAAGGAGTTTACCTGTTTTATTTGGAGTTTACATGTTCTAATAGTTTATATGTTCTAGTAGGAGTTTATGTTCTGGTAGGAGTTTATTTGTTCCAATAGGAGTTTACCTGTTCTTGTAGGAGTTTACATGTTCTAGTAGGAGTTTACGTGTTCTAATAGGAGTTTACATGTGTCTAGTAGGAATTTGCATGTGTTTAATAGAAGTTTACATGTACTTAGTAGGAGTTTACATGTTCTAGTAGTTTACATGTTCTAGTAGGAATTTACATGTTCTAGTATGGGTTTACCTGTTTTTAGTAGTTTACATATTCTAGTTTATATGTTCGAGTAGGAGTTTACATGTTTTTAGTAGGAGTTTACATGTTCTAGAAGCTTATATGTTCTAGTAGGAGTTGCCAGGTTTTGAGGGTTAATATCGCTGCAGAAGAAAATTACTTGTGTGATTTTTCTCTACTGTTGGCAATTTTGAAAAATATTTTCAGTGGTTTTCCAGACTCTTGAGTCTTCATCAATATTTTATATGGAAAATTGAAGCTTTTAGTAATCATAGTCTTGGCATTTTCAAAAGTTTCATGGGGAAAAAATCAGTAATAGCTTGAAGTTTCTGACCTAGTATATTTTTTTTGATATATAGGTTAACAGAACATACCCAATTTTGTTTTATTTTCCTCTCTGTACTAAAATCTGATTTCCCTGCCAAGGTGGATGCCCAGTTACAAGTAGTGAGGAAACTGGAAGAGAAGGAACACCTTCTTCAGAGTAACATCGGCACAGGAGAGAAGGAGCTGGGCCTCAGGACCCAAGCCCTGGAGATGAATAAGCGCAAGGTATGCTGGGTGCCTCTTGTCACTTGCAGTGGCGGTCAGTCTTGAAGGGCAGAGAAACTAACATGGTGGAATTTTTAAGCTCACTTGATTCCCTGGACTCAGGCTAACATTTCCCTTTCTGGGAAGGAATGATAAGGGGATGTTCATACATTCCACGTAGGCAATGGAGGCGGCCCAGCTTGCAGACGACCTCAAAGCGCAACTGGAGATGGCACAGAAAAAGCTCCATGACTTTCAGGATGAGATCGTGGAGAACAGTGTCACCAAGGAAAAGGATTTGTTCAATTTTAAACGAGCCCAGGTGAGAGCGCCTCTCTCTCTGATTACCTTGACCTTCTCGTTGGTCTCTGAGAACTGAAATGACCCACGTGCTGAGTATTGTGTGCCGTAAACTGCTAGTCTGCAGAGCCGTGTGGGAAGCCGCTGAGTTTGTTTTCTTCACGCCATGCCCTGTAGTTGTGAAATAAATACTTAGGAAATGTGAGGATTAGTAAGCTAAGGAGCAGTCTAGCAGCACTGGGAGGTTAAATTTCACCAGTGGTGTTTCTCATTCTTTGTCATGTCTGCTGTTTGTCATGATGCCTTTCTGTCCTTATCCAGAGATCTGGAAGTTACTTAATCCCAGTCTAACCTCACCCCAAACCAAATTACCACAAAAGTGAAATGGCCTATCCTCTAGGTTCCTAGATTGTGCTTTCACTGGGATGAATCTGCTTGGTTGAGGGTTGATACATGCTAACTTGGGGATAAAATTATGGTTACCTGTTCTGAAACAAAAGCATGTACCTTGGCATCTGTAGTTTTCTCCAGTCCTAAAGATAATTGGATGTGAACGGGCAGGAGCTTCTTTGTTTACACAAGTCAAGTTGGAGGAATGATTTCTGTCAAAAACATCAGACCTGGGAAGTGTGTCTAATGGGTCTGCTCTCCTGCCACAGGAGGACATCTCTAGACTTCGAAGGAAGCTGGAGACCACCAAGAAGCCAGACAATGTGCCGAAGTGTGATGAGATTCTGATGGAAGAGATAAAGGACTACAAGGTTAGGAAAAGTGCCTCTGTTACTTTTGTGTTTTGGTCAAGGCCTGAAGTGGTCTGCTAATGTACCGAGAGTAGACACTGACTTTGCATGGAGGGGAGTAGAGAATGGCTTCTTTTTCAGGGGGAGATGGTGCTCTTGTCCTAGTGCTTTGTAGTTTTCTTGTTTATTTACCTACGCATCATGGCCTTTTGCTTTTTAAACTTTATGATTCCTCAGATTCCGATTTCTTTCATTTTTAGGCACGACTGACCTGTCCCTGCTGTAATATGCGTAAAAAGGATGCAGTGCTTACCAAGTGTTTTCATGTATTCTGCTTCGAGTGTGTGAAGACACGCTATGACACTCGCCAGCGGAAGTGCCCCAAGTGTAATGCTGCTTTTGGTGCCAATGATTTCCATCGCATCTACATTGGCTGATGCAAGTCAAGAGAGACATGCTGGCTAGACAAGCACTTAATCATTAACCACCAGCCTCTGCCTCTTCTCTCCTTGACTTTCTTATGGATCTTGCCCAGACTCTCCTCTGCAGTAGCTAGGCAGCTTTAGGGAAAAGGACTGGTAAACCCAAGTCTTGGGTTTTAGAATGAACTAGAAACTACTATTTGTCTTCCCTGCCAGCTTTATTTCCTCCTTTCAAACTTGGCAGCATTTTCTTCCTGGGCCTATCCTATAAACTTGGATTGCCATTCATCCTGAAGAAGTCAAGTGGATATTTTTGACAATGAGAAGGGAACATAGAATGAACATGTTGTGCAGGAGGGAACTTTTAGATATAAGCTATGTATGGGCCCAAACTTTTGTTGATTTGGCTGGCGAACCTTTCAGACTGGGATTATAAAATGGTGTCATTGTTCTCTCTCCTGAAAGGTTTGGAGCCTTAATGAATTATGTCCAAGATAATTCATTCCATTTCTCACTGGAGCAAAGTGACTTTTAGGGTCAGCTGGATTTCTTGTTAAATTTATTTATGTTTTAAATATTCAATTTCTTAATAGTTTTTTAATTTCTTGAGGCCAGAATAGTTTCAAACAGAGTAGCCCCCTTTGTGTTTTAATGAACTCAGCTTGGAGATGAGGAAGGAGTAGGAGTGAGATTGTGAAAAGATCTGTGTAACCTGGGAAGGAGACCCAGCAATGAATTGTTCTCCTCCTTTCTGCAGGGATTATATGATCCTTGTTTTCCAGAAGTTTCTAGGAAATGTTTCTGTAGGGCTTTACTATTCCACAGGCATCAATTAAAAGCAAGATTCAGTTTGCTTTTGGTTTTCTTTGTTTCTTTGTTTTACTAGTTGACTTTATACCTGCTATTCTAAAAATGAATTCTCTTTTTCTTTATATATTTTTTATTTTTCGAGGCATGGTCTCTTGCTGTGTAGCCCAGGCTAGCCTGAACTCATGGCAGTTCCCCTGCCTCAACTTCCCAAGTGCTGTGTCACAGTGAAATGAATAGTTTTCTCCCAGTTAAGGTGAGTCTGCTGAGGAGAGACTACAAAAGGGGACAGACTGTTCACCTTTCTTCCATAGTTCACAGTTCATAGTGGCTTTGGGTTGAGAGCTCTTGTGTTTTATAGTAATTAGTACAGCAGAGGTTTTTGTCTCTCTGGCAAGTTTTGTATAAAGTGGATCCTTGATTCCTACCTGGCCTGGGTCATGGTTCAGGGCTTAGTCCCAGTGCTTTCATCACCAGCTTATAATCAGCAGGACTTATCAATTCTACCAAGTTATGTGATACAGATTTAAGAATTGAGTCTTAATTGGCTGTGTTTCCCATGTTTATCAAGAGAGGCTATAGGTCTGTTGATCCTGCTGCCCAGCACACACACACACATACAGCCATGGTGGGATTGGGTCCTGCTCCTAAAAACAGCCTTTGCACAGAACACTCACCTTGCAGCAGCAAGGTCTTACATGGCCAGTGTGAACATAACTATAGATTGAGGGACAAAATTGATTACTTGGTCAGCAGACGGTTTGTGACATAAGCTGTTTATGTCAATTGACTTAGAAAGCCAGCTGTCTGGGTCTGTGGGATGGTGTGGAGGAAACACCTATTGCCTGGGAAGCTAGCTAGATCGAGGGGAAGCCTGTCTAAGTGAGAAATTGAGGTCTAGGCAACAGTGAGTCAGTTCTCAAGGTTGTTTTCAAATAACTGGTAATTTTTGGCCTGAGATACTATCCCTATAGGGAAGGTTGTAAATGGATTTCAGGAATGCTCCTGAAATTTCACATCAATTTTGTTTGGGTTGTAAGTACATTACTTACAGCTTCTCTTTCAGATCCTCAAAGGAATGTGTTAAGGTCTTATAACCTGTTTCACAATGCCTAAGATTAGGACTTAGAAAGGACATTGTCTTAACTTAGTTCTCCAACACATAGTAGAGGCATGTAGTACTCAGTAAAGGTTTCTCTTATTAATTCAGCTACCTATTTTCTGCCAGATGTTCAGAAGTCTGCTTGATGGTACCTGTATATGTATTCAAACCTTATTTCTCTTCCAACCCCCTCTTTATATATTGAAGTTACTCTTCAGATTTCATTCATCCTCCTATTTTTGACTAAAGGCTTAATTTATCGTGATAACGAAAGGAACTGTCACACATTTGGAAAGTAATACCTCTATAGAGGCAGCCTATGATAGCAAAAGGTTAGTATAGACTAACCTTTTGAGGGAGTGTGTAGACAAAATTGGAACCATAGTGTATTTACATTGATGCAATAATGATGCACTAAGAGGATTTCAGGCTACTGACATCCGTGGAGTAGAATGATTTGAAAGGCTGTGAGAACCTAAAGGGCTCTCCGACCGTCTTTGGAGGTGAACAAGTAGGCCCAGGTCACTCAGAGCCACACACCCAAAATGTGACTGTCAGATTTTTACTTTTCTTTCTTGTACTCTGTGGAGACCTGTACCAATAGTGTGTCATTAGTGAGTTAAGAAATGAAGGAACTGAGTAATTTGAAGCCTTACTGATAGTCCGTAAACCTTGACAGTTCCAATTTAGGTAGACAGACCCTAGACTAGCACTGTGTTTTGGGTTTTGTTTTTGCTGTTTTCCTCTTCTGTTCATTGAGAGTTCCGATAGCACACTTTGTAGAGGGAGATGAACCAGAGGGGTGTTTGGTTCCTCTTTGCTCTCCTAATCCTGTTAGCATTTGTGGAATACTTATCGTGATCCCCGGCACTGCGGTAAACATGCTTTTAAAGTCAAGATCGCTCAGCTAAGATGGCCTGGCACTTACTAGGAAGTTACTTCAGTTCTCTGTGCTTCAGCGTCTTCACCTGAAAATATCTGAGTTGTATTGAAGACAAAGTGAATCATTGTATAGGAGACTTTAAATACAGTGCCTGCATTTAATAAATGTTCAGTTGTTAATAAAATACTTCTATATTCTTTCTATTTGTTTTCTTCTTATTTTTTGAAAAACAAAACTGATATTCTCCGTGAAGTCATGCCAAACCTATATTTTTTGTTTATCACTAACCTGCCCGTCCTGCTTAAATGCCATTGCAAATCATTCCAAAACAGAAAGTTAACGTTTTATGCCCACTACTCTATAAGCAAAATACATATGAATGACAGCCGGCTCCTAGTGGCAGTGGTCTTACCTCTCATTATGTTCCTCTTGAGCTCACACCCTTAAATGTGAGGCTCCTGTGGTCTGAGGGGCAAAATTGCGGTGTGATGTGGTGATGTTGCCTCAACTTCTCTCCTAGTCCTTAAAACCTGTGCCTTTTATTTATCATGTTAAATATTTGAAGCCCCCCCAAATCCTTGATTTCCCAACTCGAACCTGGCAAATATTTTCCTTAAGATGTTTGTTACTATCCACCAATCTCTCTACTTATGTGCACTTTGCACATACCCCCCACACGCATGCATGCACACACACGGACAGCAGTGTCTTTGCGGCTGTAGTACTTACTGTGCAGTCGTGTGTGCATGTGCACACATATTGGAGTTAGGTGGCAGACACTGCCTTCCTCTTGGTTTTTCCATGTGTATGCCAGGCTAGCTGGCCTGTGAGCTAGAGATTCTCCAGTGTTTGCCTCTCCATCTTGCAGTAAGAGTACTCCAATTACAGACTTGGGCCACTGCACATGGGTTCTGGGGATCTGAACTCATGTTTTCATGTGTGTGTGGCAAGTGCTTTACCCACTGAGCCGTCTCTCCAACCCTGATGTGCATTTCTTTATCGAAGTACACACCACATTGTGTTGCTAGATCATGTATCCCACGTACGACTAGATTGAGCCCCATGGATCCTCAGGTCAGACTGCCCCAGCCATTTGTGCCGTACTTGGCTTATAGGTGGGATCCTCAAGATGAATGAGTGGATAAATGATGCAAAACATCTCAGGGAAGTTGGCAGTTGTATGAGGATAGCAGACTCTTAGGAGGTTTGACTCGGTCACATTTCAAATGATGGGGTGGAAAGTACATCAGGCTAGAGGACTCATGAAGGCAAGTTTGCAAGTGGCTGAAACTGCTTGGATTGTAAGAAATTGCCAACACGTCTCTAGGGTTGCTGAGTGATTGGCAGAGCTTAGAAAGCAGACTAAATGCAGAACACTGTTTTTGTGACGCGTGGCAACAGCCTTAAGTCAGGTGGACCAGTGCAGATGCAGTTGGCATTTCAACTTCCTCTGTCTGCAGACCTGGAGGCCAAGCTGAGGCTTGGACCAGAGTAGGACAGGTTGGGGCGTTAGAGCAGCAAGTGGCAGGCACTGATAAGAAAAATACAGTAGTTGTATGGGTGTGCTGTTGCACACTAATCTCTGCTACTTACTAGCTGTGTGACTGGGTTATGTAAGTTCTCTAGTGTGCTTTTTACACCTGACAACTACCATCATTGTGTTTGCGTACTCTAGACTGCATCTGAAGTATGTCTCACTGGAGTGTAATGTTTTAAGAAACAATGTCTTACGATAAATGCCCAATAAGCGTTAACTGCTGCAGTACTGTCTGTTTACAAATCATGAGAAGATGAGATTGAGGAGTTCCCTAAGGCTTGGACATAACCCTTTCCACTGTTAGGTTTCTAGTCCTTACATGTACATGGGAGCTACCATTGAGTTGCTAAATGAAGATGATTAGGGCTGAGATTTTAGAGATCTGTGAAGAGTTTTTCCTCCACGTCTTTCTCACATAAAACTATCTAACTTCACAATGCCTGAGCTCTGAATTCTCTCTGCATATCATGCTACTAAGAAACACCCATAAATATTAGGGTTGGTGCACCTTCTGTTAGGAAGGGGCTGGTGTCTTGTCAACATGACTCCCCAAAGAATGCCAACCGTGCGACTCAAAATGAAGTTTCTATCTGAACATTTATTCCACAGTCATAGAAACGGAAGATGGAAAAGACCTGAGGACATGTTGTCCACCCACGTGGTCGTACAAGAAGAGTGCTTGCAGCAAACAGTCTGTTCCGCCATGCTCACGAGACCGCTTCAAGTTCTGGAGCGGAGCAGTTGCAAACACTGAAATGAAGACACAGTGCAAATACTCTTCACAGACCTTAAGAAAATACTTAGAAGCACATTATTTTCATAAAGTGATCGGGAACTAAACTAAAGGGAGTACGGGGCTCCTAGATTGGATGGGTAGTTGAGGGTGGGAGGGCAGGGTAAGAAAGAAAGAAGTAGAGATGCTGATAGTGAAGTGGTTTTAATGCCTAGAAAAGCAATTTCTTCTGGTCTTGAGTGGGTTTTCTGGTTTGCTTTTTAAACTATGAGTTGAGAGGGGAAAAGGCTCTAAAGTTGTTTCTTTTCCCTTTCCGATACACTCAAGGGAGTGATTAACTTTCTCCAATGCTCTGATGGACCCAACAACAATGGAAAGTGTTAGCTCAGTGACACAGTTTTGTTCGTGGCTTCACTTGCCATTTCTCAAGGTGGAAGAGAAGCAGCCACTCCTGTACAGGATAGAGTTTGTGTAAAATTCATGAGGGATGAAAAATCCAGGCACATTAAAGACCTCAACTTAAGAGGTTCCTGTTGCTGCTTCTCTGGCTATCCCAGTCCTTCCAGCTTGTTTTTGTTGGAGGGATACCCTTTCTCCTCTTGGGGTGTATGTACTGTGGGGCCTTTGCTTTCTTCTCCCAAAAGCCATATCTGTCCCAGCTTACCCAGTTATGCTTTTCGTACTTCTTGTGCTAGGAATTCCCTATTGGGGAATGGACTTGGGGTCTGGGAGACAGTTGGTCATATTCCAGGTTTCTCAGTTCAGAGCCTGGGTGAGAACAAAGGCTTTCCTGGTCTCAAGAAATGGGAGCTCAGAAGAGGCTGCCAGGCCACATCCTTTAGCCCTTTGCCACAACCCTGCACCTGAAGGCTTCCCCCTTTGTGAGCCTGAGGGGTAGTTGAGAGAACAGAGGTGGAGCAGAACAGAAAGGTTTTGAAGGACCCTCCCTTGCATGAAAAATTTATACAAAACACAGCACACTGTTTCACAAATTGCAAAACACTGTTCAATTACTACCATTAAAAAATTGCTATTTATCATGAAAACTGCTTCATTTCACCACAAGCAATTATGTTTGGTTGTTTTTTTGTTTTTGTTTTTGTTTTTTTTTTTTTACCCAAGACATAGAAGCATTTTAAGCAGTGCTGACAGCAGTAAGCCTCCCTTTACCTGCTGCTTGCTGCATCCTGACCACAGTTTTGGCCAAGTAGATCCTCAAGACAGAAGGAGCATGCACTGGTCATCAGCTCTGTGGGTGGGCAAGCTGCTCTGGCATGTGATCACCACTACTCAGAATGCCTCAGTAAAGAAGCTTAAGGTAAACCCGATATACAAAAATCCAAACTTACAAAACAGATACAATAAGGGATACTTAATTGAATTACAAAAGGATTCTTTACAAAATAATTCACCTCTGGGGTCCCTTAAGTAGCCAGCCTCTCAAGTACAGTCGGGATATGAGTTGATTTACAAAAATGTCCATGTACAACAGGAGCATGGCTGTCCTGTGAATTAAGGTACGCCTGTGCATCAGCCTTGTGGGCTGTGCAGGCATACAGGGGTGCTCAGAGCAGTCTCCAGGGCTTAGTTGTTGCAGATAGGTGGCTAGGAGATGAACCTTCCTAAAGCAGCTAGCTGAAGCCTGGGGTGAGAACACAGGAGGGGATGAGGGCACTGCACGGCATGTTGTCTGTTTCTGTTCTCATGGCTCGCTTGCCCCTCCTTGCTGAGCTGTTTCATCTGTGAGGTTGATGGAGTCTGATTTTAGAGTCCTCCTATCCCCTCGAGAGCATCTCTGGGGTTTACCTGCACGCCTGGGTTTTCTCAACAATTAACTCACTGCTCAGGTGTCATCTGATTTCAGCTGACGGTGCCATCTTTCCCCAGGGGTCTGCATAGCTCTTGCTGTATCTGAAAGTGGAAGGAATTTTATGATTGAAGCCCCCTTTAATGATCTGCACGCTGCTTGGCATGATGTGCACTCACTGTAGATATTAAAAATGGCAGGTGGGAAAGTGAGTACGGAGAAGATAAAGCAGCCATTGATCAACAAGGAAATCTACTTCTAAATGGCACACTGGGGTTGGGGTTGGAATGTGGAAGGGAATCAGCACTTGGGTGCTGAAATAAAAGAAGAAAAGGCAATAGGCTCTCCTCCCTTCTCACATGCCTGAGGACAGCCAAAGTTCCAGAGCAGTGCTTCTCCAAGAGTAATGTTAGGATCAGTGTGTCCTGGGGTACTGACTGACTAACATTAGGATTCTGAGTCCACCTCAAGACCCACCATAATTTCTGGGGAAGGGTCCTGGCAATCAGCACTCTGATGAGGCCTTGGGTAACTCTTAACTAGCCAACATTAGAGATGGCATTGGAACATCCGAAGGTCTCATATTTGTTTTCTTTCTGCATGCCAAGCAGTTGTATCCTTGAAAAATGATGCTTACGTAGAGGGGATTCTAGGCTACTCACACCAATCTTTTGGGTGCATTAGATGGACCAGGAGAATAATCAGAAGGACCAGAGCCTAACATAGTTCCTCAGATTTGAGTAGGTATGAGGATGGCAGATTGCAAAGCACGGTAGATTCTAGTATTTGGCATTTGTGATGTCCACAAGCCCCTGGTTACTAAGGCCAAGAGATAGGTGACCATTTATCTGTAAACAGCCTCACATGTGGTATGCAAAATATTTTCCTTACGCAGTGCCAGGTCACAGACCCTGTTACAAGCATTAAGTAGTGTTTTTACAGGCTTACTCATCTAAGGATGTGACTTTGCTTTCCTTTCCATTATAAAAGGCACACACTACAGTGAGATTCTTAGTCAGATTAGAAGTATAGTGCAATTCATTCTTTAGCCAATTTGCCTTTCTGACCCAGGCTTTTATTTTAAAAGCGCTATGTGCATTGTTAACGCACCATCTGCCTGTCCTGTAATTCCACTCACCACATCCCCTTCCCCATTATAGTGGTGTGCCAATATGTTCCTATTAGATGTTAGTCAGGATGGCGTCAGAGATCCAGAGCCTCTCAAGCCCATGGCTCTTGCCTGAGCCCATCAATCCTTGCCTGTGGCAATTCTGAGCTCGGATCATTTCTAAGTCTCTGTTCTGCCCCAGTTTTGCTGGCTCCTACCCGACTCCTTCAGAATGTAGAACCCAATTTAGATTGGGAAATTTTATCAAATCTGCAACCCTGGATAATTCTATGGTAGTATTAAAAACCAACCCAGTAAGACACAGGTCTGAGTAACGATTTTTATCTCTTGCAGAGGACTGAAACCAGAAATATTGTTGTGGCACCAGGTGAAAAGGTTGTCGGAAGCCAGACTGGTCTAGCTGTTCACAGAGCCCCTTATTCAGAGTTTTCTCCTGACTAACTTTAGGCTCCTGCTAAGGAAACGATTCCTACCCTGGAGACCAGGGGGCAAGTGGGAGAAGATGCTGCATGTTAGACCAGGGATAATATGCTCACTGTCAGGAGACCTCCACCTCACTTCCTCACACCTTTGTTAGTCAATGCAAAAGAGCATTACAAAGTGTCTCAAGGGCTCCAGAATACCAGGAGCTGAGTGAGAGGAGCAATGAAACTGCCTAGGATTCACAAGTCCGATTTGTCCTTTGATACTCTTCCAGCTCCGTCTTCCTGCTCACAGCCAACTGCAGCTCCTGGCGGATCACTTGGATCTGTTTCTCCAGCTCTGAGAGTTCCTGCATCACTGAGTTTCGAGTTATGTTGAGGGAGTCTGCTTTCCCATTGGTGGTCAATGAGGCAGGGAGCTCTCTTCTCCTTGTGGGGAGAGGAATGTCCTGGTGGGTCTGGATGCCCAGCTGATTTTGTCCTCCCTCATCACTGAAGATGTATTTTTGTTGATTGTCATGACTCGGATTGGAAGTATTCCACACCATGAGCTGACGGGGCCCCAGGTTGGACCTAGGAAACAGAGACAATTCAGATTCCCCACCTGTCTTGCAGCCCTCAAAGTACTTTTCTCCATTTGCTATGTGAGTTATAGAGATCTGGGTATACGTAGAGAAATGAAGTCACCGAACCAGGAGCAGACCACCTGCTAGAGTGCCGTGGGGACACTAGGAGCTATGAATGCTCACTTGAATTTAAGGTCTTATCAAGCCTTATGTTACTCTGACACTAGAATTGGTTATCATCTGGTGAAATATGGTACACTGTTTTGTGAGGAACTTTAGGTACGTGTGTGTGTGTGTGTGTGTGTGTGTGTGTGTGTGTGTCTGTGTGTGTGTGTTACTGTACAGGCACATATGGAGGCATCTGGACAGCCCATGTCTTCCTCTATTGCTTTCTGTCTTATTGCCTTGAGACAAGGTCTCTCTCAGGATCTGTCTCTCTCTACCCACCAATGTTGGGGTTACAGGCATTTATTTGCAGCCATGCCAGGCTTTTAACGTGGGTGCTGAGGATTCAAACTCAGGACCTCATGATTGCAGAATAAGTGCTCTTACCCACTTAACCAGTATCTTTTTTTTTTTTCCTATCCTACAGGCAAAGCTCAGAGAGCAGTGCTGCCTGGAGGCATTCTTTGGCTTATAGAAGCGATGCGATGCCCTAGTGAGAGCGAAAACCTTTGTTCACATGTTGGACTCTAATCAACCTATTGACTGATAGTACTTTATGGTTCACTGTTAGTTCTTCTGTGCCATCTGATACTTAGTACTTGATTTTGGGGAGAATAATGGCAAATTAACTTAGGTTTGAGCAAAGTGTTTGTCATTATAGGGATGAGTTTATGCACGTTGTGAATACAGGTCAAGTTTGGTGCTTAAAAACAAAACGAAAACAGTGCCCTTGGTCCCTGCTGGGTGGATGATTTATAATTCCTCAAAAATACATATACCACTTGACACCCTTGTGGAGACATGGCTCTAGACAGTAAGAAAGGTACTGCTAGATAGGGATGAGAGGAAGCCAGGAAGGTTTCTGAAACACACCTTGACAGTCTGATGCGATGAGAAGAACAGCATAATCACTGTTTCTACCCTGGGCAGAGGGGAAGGCGGAGGGATATTATGATTTTAGGGAGCAACACAATGGGAAACTCCTACTAAATCCTTGTGGGTTTCGTACCATAAAACAGAATCAACTTTATTCCTGGACTCTTACTTGTTGGGGAGAGAGAGAAAGAAGGGGAAGCCCTGGAGTAGGAAGGTACAAGGGAGGGAGACCCGAGTTCTTGAGAACAAAACACAAGAACTTAGCAGGGTGCTTTTGTGTTGTTTTGCCCAGAGGCAATCTGTCACTACAACATGATAGCCTGCTGAGTTCTCCATGTTTATTGAATGGATTTGAAAGGATTAATGAATGAATGGTTGACATAGGTGCTTGAGGACCGGCTTAGAGAAATGTATCTGATTCTTTTGTTTCTCCTTTTATCCATGGCGCCTCTCCATGAATGAGGTCTAGCCTCCTAACATTGTTTGATTGAGACTAGGTCTCACTCTGTAGCCCAAGCTGGCCTAGAACTCATTATGGAGCCCATATTAGCCTTGAACTGATGGCACTTCTCTGGCCCCAGCCTCCCAAAGTTCTGGGATTATAGCCACGAGTCACTGTACTTGACTCTGGTCTCATAATTTGTTTTGGGCAACAGAAAGGTGGGAAGTTCTAAGTTTTTAGGAAGGCTTGCACATTCATTTTCCCCTAACTCCTCACTGGTCTGATGGAAGTCCACACTGGCCTGCTGAAGGTAGCAGGCCTGGAGAAATTCCACAGGCTTCCTAGTTGACTTAGCAGAGGCCAGTGAGATGAGATAGCCTGTAGCTGCTTTCTCGTTTCCTCAACCTGGCCACAGACATGAGTGAGCCCAGCTGACATCTGCCAAGCAAACTGCTCAGCTGACCTATAGAGTAGTAAGCACCCACTATTGTTAAGTATTGGGGTGACTTCCCATAGAGCAGGACAACTGAAACATGCCCAGGGCATCAAAACAAACACTCCAAACCTCCCAGTCATTCTTTAATATTGCTCTTATTTAAGTCCCATTGAAACAGAGGGCACCAGAGCTCACTTTTCCTAGGTTGTGGGCTAAAGGGAAAAGTTCTATAATGATCCCACTTATAGCTGCTTTTCTGATGTCAGAATCAGAGATTTGGCTAGAATTTTCTTCCGGCCTTACGGTTTTCTTCTAGCTTCAAAGTCTTCACATTGAATAAATCAAGAAATGCATATTAAAATCTCCCTTGCAATAACCATTTTCTAGTACATTAAATATCTGCCTCAGAACTATGGCCCAGAATTTCTCTAAGCCAGTCCTCAAGCTCCTCCGTCAACATTCATTAATTAATCCTTTCGAATTCATTCAATAAACATGGAGAGCTTAGGGGCTGTCATGTTGTAGCATTTCTAAGCCAGCAAACCTAGCTCTAGTACCATAGATTGATCATCTGTAGGAAAACCCTTAGAGTTATCTACCCATTCCCTTGGACTTGTCAGCAGCCAGTGATCAGATATATCCAGCAGAGATGATCAGATAAGTAGGGACAGCCAGTCTGGTTATTCAGATCTTTGAACATCTACTTGGAATTGGAACAGAGTAACAAGCAACAGCTGAACTGCTTTGTGGCAAACTAGCATCATGATATCATACTCTGATAACTGATATATGGCTCTGGGCCACCTGTGAATGCATGCAAGGTGACAGATGCTGAATGTAAGACAGTGTCTAATTAGAAGGAATGTGTTATACTCTGACCTTAGGAATGTTTAGGTTATGTTTTGATCAAGCCTTCTTCTGTCTTAAGAGTATAACGTGACCAGTGGGATGATAAATATTTCACAATAAAATGGGCAAGACAGGCTTCTATGGGGCAGTTATGTAAGACTGAAGCTGACCATGTCACTGCACCATTCAAAAAAGATACAGTAGTTGTGGAACTCAACACATACCAAGTTTAGAAGGTTCAGGTGCTGGATTGTAGGGAGGCCCTTTATAATAAAAGAAAACGGCATGGATGGCATCACTCTTTTTCATGGCTTGCATCTCTAGTGCTGCAATCCCTTCTCTCCAGACCACACCCAGCTTGTCAGAGTCATTTCCACTGGTTCCTAAGTTTCTACAGTCACAGAGCACCCCCCTCACCCCTGTATCCCCTCTCAGTCTGCGGCATCCTGTGATAGACTATAGATTAACTGGGGCACAGTGATGGAGACATGATCTGTCTTTGGTCCTTGTCAGAGTAAGCAGTTCAAGAAGAGATTCTGCAAAAAAAGTGGATAAGTTGAGTGAAGAGACATATTTGGTTCTCAGATGAGATCCATGTAAGTCATATCACAGCTGGAGATAGGATCAGTGGACTTCGTGCTTCTATTCCTGGAAAAATGCTTTATTATTATTATTATTATTATTATTATTATTATTATTAATTAGATAGTATGTTTGCTGCTACATCTGATTTTAAAAACATTAAAATAATTATAGAAAAATCTCTGTAAGGTAAGATAGAACAGCTGTGACCTGATCAGGCTGTAGCTTGTCACTAAGACTTGCACCATGACAGAGGGCGCCACACTGGGAAGGAGCCTCAAGAGATTGGAAATGATTCTGACAAGCTAGATGCAGCCTAGAGAAGGGACTGGAAGAACAAGCTAGAAAAGAATTGTGTTGTTCACCCCCTTTTCTTCTGTTACGAATGAGAGGTGTTAGTGTCAAATTTCAAAAGCTTTGAGCTGAGGAAATGCCATAGATGGCAGAGATTCCCAGAGCCAATGCCCATAGCTGAGGCCTCCAGGCCTATAAAAAAAAGGAGGGCAGCCATAGGCAGCTGGCAGCGGAGGTCAACAAGCCGAAGACCTGAATGCTTCTGATGGTTTCCGTCACCATGAGGATGCAGCCATCTACCAGCTGGCTGTGGTGGGGGCATGGAGCTTTGAATTTTTCAGTGTTACTGGAATAGTTAATGCTTCTTTCCTCTTAGTGAGGACCTTTTCTAGAGAGTTCTAAGAGTGCCAGAAAGTAGATTTGGTAGGACATCCCTGCTGGATATATCAAATATTCTTAGAGTGCTGGAGAGGTGGGAAATGGAAACATGCCTAAAGGACAGTTCTACATGAAAACAGTTGTCCACAGCACCCAAGAATTAAATGTTCCATGCATTTAATAGAGAACAATTGGAAGTATTTATTAGACATTGCTTTATTTTCAGGGCTTTTCACTTATTTACAGCTTACAACTTTCCCCTAAGAAGTGGGTACTGTTTTTGCTTATTTCATAGATGAGAAAACTGAGGCACAGAGAGATTAAGTAACTCTCTCAATACAACACACATTGTAAATGTTGGAGACAGTACTGGATCTGGATGCCAGGCTCTGGAATCCATAATTGCATTTTATTATTATTTCTTAAAGTATTTTATTATTTTTATTTTATGTGCATGAATGTATTGCCTGCATATATGTAAATGCACCCACGTTGTGCAGTGCCCATGGAAGTCAGAAGATGGCATCAGATTCCCATGGAACTGATGTTACAGACTGTTGCTAGTTGCCATGTGGGTTGAACCTGGATGCTGAGCCATGTCTCCAATTGCTATACCTGCATTTTTAAATAAATCAGTACTTTGCCTGTGTTGCATTTCTGTGTGTGTGTGTGTGTGATTTATTTTACTTCATCTTATCTGAAATTTGTGTATTTACATTGGTTTTGCTTATCAGCACCTTGTCCTGATTTGGTCCAAATACTTATTTAAAGATATCTTCCATTTTGAACAAAGAGTATCAGTCACATCTCTAAACTTTTATTTTAGCAAGCACAAAGATGGCTGGTTTGGGCCTCTTACCTCTTTTCCCCACGTTTTGTCTTGAATGGCTGCTGCTTTTCCTCTACAAATGATGTGTTCAATGCTCTGTGTAACCTCTGACAGAAAGAACATATTCACAGCTATTGATCTTCAGAAACACACAAATTGGGACAAAATACTGCTTGAGACTTAATGGAGTGTCTACTGAGTACAAACCTTGGCCTCTTGAACCAAAATTTCAGGCATGCATGAAAATAGGTCACTCAGCCCCACATCTTGAGATAACAAGGATTCTAAATTATAGGCTATTATTTCTACAGAAAAATAATAATATGGAAGCTTAGAAAGGCTTTGGATGGTGAAATGGTGCATGGTATAAAGATGTGCTACTCATGTAGAGCTGTGAAAAGTGAGTCAAAAACTTGCATGAGTTTCCTAGCAACCAAAAGAAGAAACAAAGCAGGCCCCCTGAGAATTAAAATAATCATATTAGGATACAATAGAGAAGATCACTTGTCTGTGGAGGTCAAGGAGACTCCCAGAAAGTATGAAGAACAAGGTTCAACTGTGAGCAAATCAATATCTATCTAGAAAAAACAGCACATGTTAACAGAATGTGAAAGTAAGAGAATGGATGGATGCAAAGGCAGTAAAATGTTTTTAGGGAAGCTAAGCCATGAAGTACCAAGAGGCAGAAGGGTTGCCATACTGAAGGCTGGCGGCGGGGGCAGGGGTGGCTCATCCACCTCACAAGTTTGGATGAAACAACCTTTAGCTAGAGTCCCTCGTCCTGACACACCTTCTGATTACATTTTGGATCTCCACACTAGTTTCCCACAAGGACAGATGTGAAAGAAGTGTCCCAAAATGAATGGGCACTGGTCTACCAACAATTGCGAGTTGTCTCTGTAAATCATGTGTTGTCTGTCTTAAAGGAGAGAAGTGTGGTTCTGTGAGGCTTGGCTTTGGCACTAGTGGTTCTCAGAACTCTTGACCAGAGAAAAACAGAACTCATCTAATAGCCTTCAGTTTTGGGAAGAAAAGTATCTGTGGGGGACAAACTTTTCACACTCTCTCTCCAGATTATCACTAACAAGTAAAACTGAGTTCAAAACAGTTGTACTGCTTCTCCTATGAGATGCATGAGTAGAGTGTTACAGGAAAGGGACACTGTGATACCTTAATTTAAGGGGGAGGTGACTTAATGGGCTAGAGGGAGCTCCATCTACTGAGCGCTCTACCACCCCCTTTGGGACTTTGCCATTTGTCAGGTTGATATACTTCCTTGGGTCCTTCCATCACTGGGCATCTTAAGCATAAGGACACTGGAGCATGAGTCCTGCAGTACTCACCTGACTGGTGTGCAACCAGTATTGCAGCTTGGATTTGTTTTTGATTCGTGGTAGCAGCAGTCTGTGCACTATGTGTTCACCAAGTGTTGTCAGGATGGACAGACCAAATCCAATGCACAGCAGCACAAAGAGTCCAGAGAAATGCCTGATGCCCATTTGCAAAGTCTGTGACAAGACACGAAAGGCTGTGAGTGCAATGATCCCAATGTTCATTTGCTCTTGGTTTTGTTTGTTTGTTTGTTTGTTTGTTTGTTTTGAACCGGTGTCCTTTTTAGCTGGAGACTTCTTCCTTAAGTGTTCAGTGAACACATTGCACCATATTACGAAGGACACATCCAGGGGAACTGAGGATTTCTGCTTAGCACAGCCCTAGAGTGCTGCTCACATGTAGATTTCACTGTATGAATGATTCCTGCAGTGGTCATGGCCCCGAGTCTGGGCCACACTATCATTTCTTAGAGACACAGAAATAAAGATGGAGGACTGCAACAGTTGAATATGTGAAACCATTGAAGAGTTATGAAGCAAAGAACCTCTTTCATTAGTAGAGAATGAACAGATTTAAGGAGAAAATAATCATGTGTTTAATAATCTTGGACTTTAGATCTGATGGGGAATGTGGAGCCCAATAATTCAATGCTTAAATATTCTAGAGATGTATAAAAAGTTATGCTAAGCCAAATGAGGCAGTCACAGAGATGGAAAAGGAACTTTATTGTTTGCTGACTTCAGGCAAGGTGCTTTGCATTGAGGTAGATATTGTAAGCTCAGGAAACACACTATGCAGGTACTTATATGATATACTAAGATGCCTGAGTGGTGGTATCATTGTCATTGATAATTATTTAGTACTTAAAGCATTATTACTATGGATAAAGAACAGTCAGGGAGAATTAATGTTGGGTTTCAAAACTAACTCCATCAAACATTCAGTAAGACTCAATAGATGGGCACTACTTTTTTTTTATAAGATGTTGTTGAGACATGTAAGAAAAATGTAATTCATACAAAGCCACCTTGCCCTTAAACCTACAGCTTTTCCCTGTTTTCAGTAATTAGTCTCATTTTCCTCTTATTATCACAACAACTGGTAAGCTGTATTCAGTTTATATGTTTCTTTGTTTATGTTATTTATACTTACATACTAATAGGCTAATAGTAATATTTGTTCTTTAATTAGGTATATCAGACACCATATGATCTGATGACAATCCTTTAGGTATTAATTATCCTCATTTCACATTTGAGAACACAGAGGCTCCTAGAGAAAAATTACATTGCCCAAATCCAACATTCTAATATGTGGGGGAGCCAGGCTATGGGTACAGGACTGGGTGATATCTGTGCTTCCTCTCAAGTGAATACCTCTTGATATTGCTCTTGGTTACTCACCAGAACTAGATCATAAGACCCTATTGTACTGACACAATACACTATGCTTGCATGGTGTAGAGAAGTCAAGCTGGAGCTCAGCTGGAACCTTACTCCCTGCTGGCCAGCTTTCATAGTGCAGACCACTGGGGGAGAAAAGTGATCAACAGTGTCACCCAGTGCTGGACCCTGAAATCATATAATACCAACCTGTCAGCAAGTTGTTACTGCTGGTGCAATAGTGGCATGACTGTTAGAGGAGTAACTAACTGTTTCCTAATTGGACCTGAGACTTTTTGAACAAGAGGGAAAATGATTGGTGGTTTAAATATGGTCAAAAGCCTATGGCTGGGGAGGCCAGATGCTCCAGGAGAGAATCTACTCCTGTTATTTTGCTAAATGGACATGTCAAATTATCTTCTTAATATTTGTATTTATACCCATAGGTATAAATCATAGGTATATGACCATAGGTGCGGCTGTCCACCTTTGTCAGAGAAGCTTCTACTTGTAGTGGGCGATGGCTAATGCAGAGTCATAACTAATCAAAGTGATGAGAATGACTTTTCAGTGTTCAACCTTAATGGGACACCTATATCAGCCTCTCCAAGTCAGGAAACATGGCAGAAAAGGGGGTAGAAAGAATGTAAGGGACAGGGGATGGGGAGGGGTGCTGTGAAAGGCTATTTTTCTGGACACAACATGGCAACTGTGGTTACCTGCACAAGATTGAACCCATCAACATCCCATCATGGATGAGTGAAGAGCTCCACTCTCAGCTGAGGAGCTATTGGCAATTAACTTTGAGATTACCATATTCTTTCAGCATAAAACACTTTTTTTTGACAGACCATGACCTCTGATCTACACAGCTTTATTGTTAACATAGTATAATAATTTCTCATTATGAGTCAGCTAATTCATTCAAAGGTGTTGTGATACATAGTTTATAAGTTGCAATCACTAGCCACTAGTGTAGGTAATATAACAGAAAAGAATTCCAGATGCTGGGGATGTAGCCTACTGGTAGAATGTTGGCCTAGCACAACAAGATCTTGGGTCAAATCCCTAGTGCCCCATCACAACAAAACACCCACAACAGCATCAAAACAACAACAACAAAAATCTAATTCTCAGACTTGCCACTACACTCCTGTACCTTGATGACACTTCTAAAGCAGGACTGATGTAGACTAGAAACCAACTGTGCTGAGGCTATTATCTCTGTTTCAAAAAGAGCGTCTAGTGACTGGGAGATTGCAACATATGGTAGAGAGCAGACACAATCCATTAACACAGATTCATAACAACATACTGTTAGTAATGTCTACAGCCTCAGAGCATATTGGTTGCTGTTATCAGTTTAATCTAAATACAGTCACTTGTTTCTCAAGATGTGATAAAAGTGGAAGATGGTTTAAAACTGTCTTGCAATACTGGGATAATAGCTGCCAGTAAAATCTTTGCTGCACAAGTGTAAGGACCTGAGTTTAATTCTTAGAACCCATGAAGGAAGTCAGACATGGTGGTACACAATTTTAATCCCAATGCAGGGAACATGGAGACAGAGGATCCTTGGAGCTCACCAACCAGCTGCCTAACCTAATCAGTGAGCCCTGGTCTCAATGAGAGCCCCTGTCTCAACATACAAGGTAGATAGCTCTGGAGAAATGCATAAACCAAAGAGGATAGGGTTACCCGCTCCTTGACAAGTAATTAGTTCTTTGGGACTCAGTTTTGTCTTTTTGAAAATTGAGATTGATCTGATTATATTAATAAGACTATTAGGAATAATTTGAGGAAATAAATATAGGAACCATAAAATTCAATATAGCAGAAATGAAGCTCAGTCTTTGTGGTCAGAATGCCTGGTATGAATTTTCTTACCAGCTGCATGTTCTTGGAAAAGATTCTTTGTCTCTCTGTGACATCATCTGTAAAGCTGAGCTGATGATACTCAATGTGTTGATCAAATGATGTAACAAAAGTTACATCAAGACTTATGAGACAAGTGCTCGGTATATGTCAATTGTTATCACTCCTAGGAGGTGTATAGAACTACATTTGTTGGAAATTGGCAGTTAATGGAAACAAAAAAAAAGCATTCTAACTTGTATGTAAATGTTATACATTTCCCCAAATATTTAGTCAGATTTTTCCTCTTCTAAAACCAAGTGCTCAGTTCAAGTCACGGCCACAAACCTTTTTTTTTTTTTTTTTTTTTTTTTTTTTTTTTTTTTTTTTTTTTTTTTTTTTTTTTTTTTTTTTACGTAGATTGAACAATTAACTTAATCCAAGCTACATGAGCAGTGGAAATATTTTTCTTTGCTAAATTTAAACATGTATTCTGCTTCAAACTCCTGAACATAATTTCAAATGTTCCATATTTTAAAAATACACATATATTTTATGTATTTGATAGTTTTGCTTGCATGTATGTAAGTGCATCACGTGCATTCAATGCCTGTGGAGGCCAGAAGAGGGCACCAGATCTCTGGAAACTACAGATGGCTGTTAGCTGTGATGTGGGTGCTGTGAACTGAATCCAGGTCTTCTGGGAGACCAGCAAAAGTTTTTAACTGCAGTGCCATCTCTCCAGCCCTCAATTTCCATATTTTAAAGTGTGCATTTCAAGATCTTTAAGGTCTATCCATAGTGGATTTTCTTGGTATATGTTCACTTTCCTCACAAAGTCAAGTAGATTGGCCTCCATAGAATCAAAGGTTTTTTTTTGAATGTTCTTTACAGCTCAAGTTGAGGAGTCTAATGTGTCCTCTGCACATGACATGAGGGAGCAAAGAGCTTTGACATTTGACCCTATTGTTCCCCTTTTGCCAGTTATTTTAGGATGGGAGTTCAAGGTGTTAAGAAATGAGGGTGCAAAAACCAGCAGAACTCATGACTCTTTTCCATACTGATCTTACAGAAGAGGAGGTAGAGTAAGGGAAGGAACTGAGTAGAACGAGCATTGTATTCTCTGTGCTCAGCATACTTAGTCATTTGAATCTTCAGAATACCCTTGGATAGAAAGACACAAAGGTGCTACGTTGCTCCTCTTCACCTAGCTAGTAAGTGCCTGTGACAAAACTGTTGTAATTGAATCCACAGCTAGACACATTTGAGTCTTTGAACTATGTTAACTACTGTGCAGTAAGTTACAACTCCACTGGGATAGGGATTGTTTGTTCATTGAAAATACATGTTTTTAGGATGGACTAGAAATTACAAGGACAGGGATTCCTATTCTTTGTGGCTTTTAAGTAATCTATAATATGTGTGACAGTGTTTCTTAGTAGATGGGTGCCCTGCCAGTGATTTGGTTTGTGAACTTTTTCTTTTTCTATTCTTTCTCCCCTAAGACGAATTGCCAGCTTCTTTAAAATAAAACAACAAATCTAGAAATGGGTATTGAGAAAAATTGCTCCAATGATATCCCTTGATTAAGTATGGGAAGAGTTTATGTCATTTTTCTGGTATTTTGAGTCTGGCACCTTATATGGGGAGCAACCCTTGTAAGAGAGGATGGATGTGAAGTGGCAGCAGATGCTGGGGTGAGTGCTGAGCTTGCCCTCTAAGACCTTGTACTCTAAGACCTGACTACAAGTAGGCTAAGTGATCTCAGAGAGTGTCTTAAGGGGGCAAGCAGTAGTGTACTCACTGGTAAACTGACTCTCCTGAACAAAACACAGCTTGTTTTTTTTTTCTTTAATGTACTACTTACCACTGCTGATCTCAGTTTATCAACAAGACCTAAGTGAGTTGAGGAAAGAAGTGTATAATATTAGATCTTTTTGTTGTTGTTTGAGGCAGGGTCTCCCTCTGGCACCAGCTGACCTAGGACCCTCTGTGTAGAATGGCTGGCCTCCATTTCACAGAGATTTGCCTTCTTTACCTCTCAAGTGCTGGGATTAAAAGTGTGTACCACCACCTCTAGCTATACCATAGATTTTGTCTAGATCCAAGCTCCAGCACACCTGGGATACAAATCTCTTAGGGCATGAGGAACTCTGACTTGAACGTTACATTAGGAGAAAAGCATCCTGTGATGAGGCAGCTTCTCTGATAAGGGATTGTATCTACCTTTTAAAACCAAGCTTAGCCATTGCTGTTAGCATTGGTCATGTTCACCGATTTGTGCATCTCTGAGCACCAGAAGCAGCAACACATCAGCATCCTGGGAGGGGCCACTGCAGCCTGAATCTACTGATTCTTCCCTATAGGAAGACTGTGTCCCATTCCCCTCAACTGGGTTGGGGCTGAGTATTGGAAGTAAGGGTCCTTTCTGGGTAGGTCACTGCCCTATGTGATGGCAACACCTCTTTTCTGAATCTACTATTGGAGTGGGTAGCCAGGGCTAAAAATCTGTTGACACTGAGATTGGTGGGGTGGGCACTTGGTCCTGATTTAGCTATTCTTATAGGAACCCTGAGGCTCCTTTCTAGTGGGCTGAAGCAATGGGACAAATCCCCTGGATGGACTTCTACGCCTTCAAACACACTCAGGGATTTCTGGATGCATCCTGGGAGTGTTGGTGCTGACAGAGTGATGAAAAGATTCTAAGCAAATATCAATATATTTGTGCCAGTTGCTACAACAGGAAGATAACAATCTGTTAAAAATACTGAACGTCACAAGTAAATGAAAACAGTTCCTACCACCCCATGCAAATGGCAGTCTCCTCCCATATACATGCTGCCATGAGAAAGGCAAAGACGTACATTTTCTTAGTTTTGAACCTTTAAACTTTTTCTTGAACACGGTCTCTAAATCAAACAAGGAAAAAGACGTGGAAACCATTTCTTGATCTTTTTTCCCACTCTGCCCCTTTGTCTTCAGCCATTGAGAGTTCAGTTAATAACTGCATGGATGAAGCAGCCCATGTGAGGAAATGTAGCTTTGCAAAGAGAAACTCTTCTGAGTTAGGCAGAGAGACAGGAGCGGAGGTCTTTGACCACATCTTGAAGGAACAAAGCCAAATTTGCTGCGTGGTGCTCTTAGAGAGGGGAAAAAAATCTTACACAACCACTACCAACTTCTTGTGGACATCCAGGCCTCTGACCACATCACTGAACTCTTCAAAGGATATTCTTCCATCACCGTCCCGATCCAGGACCAGAATAGTTTTGTCCACCAGCTGCTGTAGCTGCCAGTCCTTGAGGTTGTTGCCCACCATCATCTTCAGCACCTGGAAGAGCTCTCCATTAGAGATGTAGCCATCCTTGTCTATGTCGTAGATGCTGAAGGCGAATCTCAGTTTCTCCTCCTCGTCGCCCTTGACACTGAACTGCGAGGTGCCCACGATGAACTCGGTGAAGTCCACTTCTCCGTTGCCGTCCCTGTCGAAGACATCGATCACTCGCCTCACCAGCGGGTTCTGCTGCGGCCGGGCCACCGACATGAACTCGTCCACGCTCAGGGCGCCCGATTTGTCTAAGTCCAACTTCTTGAATCTCTTGCCCAGCCTTTTAATCTCATCTTGGTCGAAGTGGGCACACATCTGGGATGGGTAGCTGGACTCATTCCCCATGGCAGAAGCGGGATGGGCTGGCAGGGCCAGGAGATGGGGGAGACCATCGGGCGGCGTGCTGCCGTTGGCCCGCTCGGCCCCAGCGTATGTAGGACGGCACGTGGGATCCGGAGACAGGCAGCAGGGTGGGGGAGGGGAAGCACGGTGAGAAGGGGAACAGAGGAAGGAGGGACGGGAGCGTGGACTGGGGCTTCCCAGTAGAGGGATAGCTGCCTGCCCTCTCATGCCCCTCGTAGGTTTCCCTTATAAGGCCTGTTCCTATAAAAGTGATGTCTTACACTTTTCTCCCCCAGGAAATGCGAGTCCCTGGGGCACATCCAGATAATTCACTGTGCTGTGTTCAGCACACAGTATATGTCTTGACACTCGGTACATGCTTAACCAATGCCTGTTACATGACTGAGTGATGGTAACCCCCGGCACATGCTTCCTTTGCAGGCCTAGGATAACTGCCAGAGGAAATGACACGTCCAAGCAGTTGACATTAGGTTTATCTCTCACAATTCCCTGGGAGCAGCCAAATGGTTTCCTTCTGGGACTTTTTCAGTATCTGAGGTTCAGAGACTTTCTAAGAAAACAGACTTTCTCACATGGGTCACCTATAGACACCTACAGACCCCAGAGAAATACAAAATTGTCTAATTCAGGGCATGTCCCAATAAAGCATTTCTCCCCAGAACATTGCCTCCGTGGCTCTATGACTTCTATCCATGCCTGAGGTCTGCTGCCCACAGCCTGGCTGTCCTACAAGCATGCTGGAGATCTGCTGCAGAGTGTCCAGAGTCCTTTGTGCGTAGAGGTGCAGTCTTCCCATCTCACTTCCTCCTTTTCTTCCACCAGATTTGTTCTTTCAGCTGAAGATTAATCTTACAGACTTATGTTCCTTCCCCACTTTGGAGCAGTGCCTCCATTACTCTAAATGCATAAGGCATACATGTGGTTTAAGAGCAATTCAGTTCAAAGAGACTTGGGGCACCTCAGGCCACTAAATCAAACTGAAAGGCTCATCACTCCCTCACTTTTGAAAGCAAGAGTGAGCACATCTGTGTTCTTTAGTTCACCTGAAGATCAGTTTAAAGATCACCATATGAAACTGGTGTGACTGAGCTACTGGACATCTTACCATTAGGTTTGGCTATTTTAGTTTTCTCTTTGTAAAATGATAATAACTCAACTGGCTTAAAAAATTTATTGGTCAGGCGTGGTGGTGCACACCTTTAATTCCAGCACTTGGGAGGCAGAGGCAAGTGGAGCTCTGTCAGCTGGAGGTCAGCCTAGTCTACATAGCCAGTTCTAGTCCTGCCAGAGCTACACAGTAAAACCTTGTCTCAAAAAATAAATAAATAAAAGATTTATTTTTAACTATATGTATGTGTGTGGGTAGGTGTATGTGAGTACAGTGCCCTCAGAGGCCAGAAGAAGGCATTAGACACCCTGGAGCTGGAGGTACAGGAAGTTGTGAGTCAGTTGATGTGCGTATTGGGACCCTCAACTCTAGTCCTCTACTAGAACAGTTTCTCACTCTTAACCACCAAGTCACCTCTCCAGCTCTGCCATTGGCAAAATAAATGAACCAATCAAAAAGCACCAAGTACCTCTTTCCCCAGCTAAACTCTCTAAGCTGTGATATTTTATGGGAAACAGATTTTGACTTACTCCTTTCCCTGCTTTCCTGTTATGTAGAGAAAAAAACAGGGTATACCTTATGTACAAACCTATTGACTTTGCAACATTAAAGGGAATTCACTATGCTATCATGGTGTCACATACTTGTAATCCCAGCATAGTCTAGGTAACCATCTCAAAAAAAAGGGAGGGCAGAGATCACCTTAAATTGCAATGCAAGATGTCAAAATCAATGCTAAATACTTGCCCATGTCACCTGGGTACTCCCTGGAGGTGGCATTTTGAACAAATAAAGAGTCAGGAGCCCAGATCTGACCCCTTCCAATACCTTTGTTTCTCAGGACAAAGCTAAGGAGTCAAGAAGTTTGCATTTTTTTTTTTAAAAAAAGCAAGGGCTTGAGAGATGGCTTAGCAGTTAAGAGCATTGCCTGCTCTTGCAAAGGACCCAGGTTCAATTCCTAGCACCCACATGGTCGCTAACAAGTGTCTATAACTTCAGTTCCAGGGGAATCCAACACCTTGTGACCTCCATGGGTGCTGCACGACACGGGTGGACTTACACATATGCAGGCAATAACTCATACACTAAAATTAAAATGATAAAGTATTAAAACAAAAACTATTGCAGTTCATTAAAAGCTAGCTATGAGCATGGAAAATATATTGATAAGAGAAGGAAAAGAAGGTAGACTTCTTAGACATTGGCTACATGCTGCTGCTGCACATGGCTCTTGATTACTTTCCCAGTATTAACTTTGGCTCCTCCAGTTTAGTTTCTGAGAACTGACCGCAGACTTCTAGTAGGCTTGAGGACCCCAGTAATCATCATCAGGCACTCTTATAGATTGCTTATGGTTCTTTCTTAGGTTAGTCCTTGATAGTTGCTATGGTAAAGGAGTCACCACTGAACTGTCCTCTGTGGAGTGTTCTGTTAAGAGGCAGCAAAGGATAATGCAGAAAACAGGAATTAAATAGGCCTTGTTCCAGTCACAGCTCTGCCTCTAGTGGCTGTGAGCCCTAGGGAAGGAAGCCACAATCCTGCCACCATCCTGTTTGTAAAGCAGTGATAACAACTGTCCCTGCATGGGGACTCGGGAGAGATAGTTCATTCAGTAAAGTGCTTGCCTTGCAAGCATGAGGACCTGGATTCAATGTCCAGAACCCATGTTAAGAAAGCCTGAAGCAGTGGCATGCATGTGCTTAGAATCCCAGAGCTGGGCAGATCCCTGGGCCTTGCTGGCCAGCCTGCCTTGCCTACTTAGTGGGCTCCAGGCCAGTGACAGACCCTGTCTCAAATAGCAAGGTAGATAGTACCTCAGGAACAGCACCCATGGGTTGATGTCTGGCCTCCACACACATGCACACATGCATCTACATGAACATGCACATACAAAAATAATTGTGCTTTCTTTATCTACTGCATATGATTCTTGTGGTGGACAGAAGAGGTAGTATACACAGAAATGCCATCTCAAGAGTTAACTAATTTAATTATTGGACAGATGCTGTGCGGAAGATGGTGCCACTTCACTGAAATACTTCCAGTGCTCAGGAAGATTCATTTGTTCCTGCGTGGTAGAGAATGTGGCACAGCGCTGGACTGAAGCAGTTAGTCAGTGTGAGGTTGAGTTCCCTGTTGCTCTGCATTTCATAAACTTTGCAGTCAGCATCATAAAGGGATTCAAGTTTTGTTTCAGTTTTCTCTCGCCATTCATTATTCTTAGTCATTCCTGTGGAAAGCACTATTTGTTACTCTTTCTGTTTAGCACCATGGAGTGATAAATTAAAAGGGTTGATTGATTCAGAAGAAACCAAAAGCCTGATGATACGTCTGTTTCAGCAAGGCATTTCCCCTCGTTTTTATTTTCCCCTCTAGGATTTTCCGATTTAGAGCTATGAGACAGTCACATGCAAAAGTAATTGACAACAGAGCTGGAGGTGATGGGATCCGTGGTTCCTAACGCACTCTCTTCCAAGTCATCCAGGAGAGCAGGTGTGTGAACAAGTCACACAGTCATTCTAGAAACTTTCCAGGAAGTCCTAGCCTTCACCTGGAAGCATTTTTTGGCACTCCCTGGAGCCATGTTTAGCACATAAGTATACTGATGTTAGCCACACTGTGGTCTGTGGAACTGCAGATTAAGCTATAGCTTACGTCCTGAGCTCAAGCTGTTCTGAGTGTCAGCGTCCTCATCTGCAAAGCAGGAATGATGGGAGGGTGTCAGAGTGTTACTGCAGGTATAGTGATGTATGGAAGATAACATCCAGGATGAAAGTACTTAAAACACATCTAAATGACTCTAGCTTGCAGTAGGTGCTTTACATGTTTTTGTTGTTGTAGTTTTTGTGTGTGTTTTAATCTGGTCTCCTAGTCCCTTTCCTATTTCTTTAATTGATTTCTCTGAAGAAGAAAGCTGGCTCTGCCTATATGTCTTTTCTTGGGATGTCAGGAAGCTTGCTTCAAATTTAAACTCATTCAACAAGACAACCCCTACACTTAGGGTTCAGGGAACATTGAAGAAGAGGGGGTAGAAAGATCCTAAGAGCCAGAAGACCAGGACACCTAGTGCTAGATCATGTATTCTAGACATGGTAGAGAAGCTGCAACCATAATATGGTTGCCTAAACACGACCTACATAAAAACACTGGTTGACATGCCAATGTGGATGGAGGAAATTTCATAGCTTCCATTCTAGATGAAGAGCTACAGGCAATCAGTGGATGCTGAGGGAGGGAGACTCAGTTCTCACCAGGTACAAACTCTCTGATAGGTTATCTAATCCCAAGTGTTCAGTCCTAAACACATGTGCACAAGAGCAATGTTAAATAGACCCAGGAAATTTCATATATGTTTGTATATTTGTAAGTGTATGTATGTATATATAACAATAAAGAAGAAGATAAATTGCGGGGGGCTGTGGGGGCATGGAGGAGTAAGAGGAAGGGGATGGGTGGAGATGATGTAAATACAATACTCATGTATACAAAGATATTACATATAAAAATAAATCCATTCAACAAATTATATTAGAAACATCCTATATGCCAGATAATGGGGTTACTGTGGTAAAGAAAGCTCAGTCTGTGGGGAAACAGTTCTGCCAATGAGAAATCCAGTTTAATGATCAGCATGGCTTTAAGGGTATGAAATAATTTAGTCAGTCTTTCATGTATATTCAAAAAGATTAGAAATAATATGGTTGGCTTTCTTTTGTCATTCTGGGATGGTTTTTAATATGAGTTTTCAAGTGTGTAGTTTTAAATTAAAGTTATGCTGTTTAATAACTCTTGTGACCTCCAGCAGAATTAATTATCTGAGTCATTGTTTGTTCATTTGTAAAATGAGAACAGTGGTTGCTAATTCATAGACTCG